TGCCCTTATTCTGATTGCCCCTGCTATGAACCTAGCAACCTTTGCCGTTATCTGCTCATTTTGATCTAACAAAAGAAAGGACATTGTGGCAGTGGCTGAGTGCCCTGGGATGGTTAGTACAAGTGGGGTGATGATCTCATTCCTCGGGTCTTTGTAGAGAGTACAAGACAGAAGGACGTGTGCCGCTGTTTCAGTGCTACCATCTCCACAGGGGCAAAGACGTTTCTCAGGCAGGATCTTTTGGAATCGACCCTCAAGTACCGCAGATGGCAAACATCCAATCTTGCAAGTGTAAAAGCACGTCTGTATATTGGGATAGTAAGTTTGTGCAGATATGGGGCCAGAGAATAAAAATGGAGAGGTGGAAAATGAACATACCAAGGGCAGAATTTCCTTATAGTGGCCAGGTTGTTCTGATGCTCGATATCTTTTAGACGTTGACCAATTTGACTGTTTGCTTTAGTAGGGCCCATCGTGAGTAGGTGTTGTGGGGATAGGACACAAGAGTGAAGTTGTTGATAGACGGTTTTAGCACTGTGGGTTAAACCACAGAGCCTAGGACCTGCCGATCAGAAGGTCAGCGGTTCGAATCCCCACGATGGGGTGAGCTCCCGTTGCTCGGTCCCTGCTCCTGCCAACCTAGCAGTTCGAAAGCACGTCAAAGTGCAAGTAGATGATTAGGTACCGCTCTGGCGGGAAGGTAAACGGCGTTTCCGTGTGCTGCTCTGGTTCGCCAGAAGCGGCTTAGTCATGCTGGCCACACGACCCGGAAGCTGGACGCTGGCTCCCTCGGCCAGTAAAGCGAGATGAGCACCGCAACCCCAGAGTCAGCCACGACTGGACCTAATGGTCAGGAGTCCCTTTACCTTTAAGCCAGGCACTTTTATGGGAGTCTTGAAGTACTAGGGAGAGTAAACCGCGGGGATTTGAGTTTAGGCGGAGCCAGAAGTTAAGAGTTCGTTGCCAAGTCCATACTTCTACTGAAGGGAGACTTGCCTCCAGTCTCAATGATGCGTTTGGGACACATGGCGGTACAGAAAAAATCTGCCTTAGAAACTTTGATTGAACAGCTTCCAAAGTGCTAAGGTGGTTACCAGTCCAACTCTCAGCCCCGTATGGATGAGAAAGTGTGACGCAGTGTAGCGGGCAGAGAGTTGGACCAGGATATCAGAGAGCTGGGTTCGAATCCCCATTCACCCATGAAGCTTGCCGGGTGGGACGCACTCTTCGTGTAGCCTACCTCACAGGGTTGCTGTCGAAAGGAGAAAATGAGAAGCGGGAGAGGCCTGTGCTTTTTGCGCTCCTTCGGATCTAAGCACAATTATAAGATTATGTAAGTAATAGGTAATATCTCTGCTTTTGTAGAAATGGCATGAGATTGCCACATGTGGAATAAGCTGCACCTGTTGCCTTTCTGCCTGCTGGGCATCTGTTCCAGACACAGGAGCCTTCCTGGGAAGAAATTCATCATGGCATGTGATTGCAGCAATATTTTGGCAGGGAGAACGAGGGTGATTTAATCCATTCCAAAGCCAATATCAGCTGTCAACGATGATGAAGTACAGAAGCCTCCTTGGGATCTGAAGTCTTTTTAATCCATTAGGCATTTCAGTGCAAATGTTCGCCTTCCAGAATGCCGCATCGGGTAATAGCAAAGACAAAGTGCCTCTGAGCAGCTGCAGAGTGCCTTTTCAAAGAATCACAGAATTGTAATAATAAAAATAATAATATTTATTTATTTATTTATACCCTGCCCAACAGCTCCCAACAGAATATAATAATAAAAAAGCGATAAAACATCAAACATTAAAAATTTCCCTAAACAGGGCTGCCTTCAGATGTCTTCTAAAAGTCAGATAGTTGTTTATTTCCTTGACATCTGATGGGAGGGCATTCCACAGGGCAGGCGCCACCACCGAGAAGGCCCTCTGCCTGGTTCCCTGTAACCTCACTTCTCGCAGGGAGGGAACCACCAGAAGGCCCTCAGAGCTGGACCTCAGTGTCTGGGCTGAACGATGGGGGTGGAGACACTCCTTCAGGTATACTGGGCCGAGGCCGTTTTGGGTTTTCAAGGTCAGCACCAACACTTTGAATTGTGCTCAGAAATGTACTGGGAGCCAATGTAGGTCTTTCAGGACTGGTGTTATGTGGTCTTGGTGGCCACTCCCAGTCACCAGTCTAGCTGCCGCTTTCTGGATTAGTTGTAGTTTCCGGGTCACCTTCAAAGGTAGCCCCACGTAGAGCGCGTTGCAGTAGTCCAAGCGGGAGATAACCAGAGCATGCACCACTCTGGCGAGACAGTCTGCGGGCAGGGAGGGTCTCATCCTGCGTACCAGATGGAGCGGGAGACAGCTGCCCTGGACACAGAACTGACTTGCGCCTCCATGGACAGCGGTGAGGTCCAAAATGACTCCCAGGATGCGCACCTGGTCCTTCAGGGGCACAGTTACGCCATTCCGTACCCCATTTAGCCGAACCCCTTGCAATGCAGGGACCGTGGCTCAAAACGCTTGATGTGTACATTGCCACGCTTTTTTGGCACACGTACAGGGACCCGCAGCTAAAGACGCACACCCAGCAGATTGCATCGAGGCGTGGATTGCGTGTTAATTTCCCTATGGGATGACGCTTCCAAAGCCGAGGCTGAATCTGCCAAACTGTTTTCGTTGCTCAGAAACAACCCTGTTACTTTTTGAGCGAAGAGTGCCTCTGAGCAAGCGCAGAGAGTGATTTCCTCTCCGCAGTGCAGCAAGAAATCATTCCCTGTAGTCACATCCATACATGTAGTGCATGGCTAGGTCTTGGGAACTCTAGTTTGTTAAAGGTGCCGTGAGCGGTAAGCTACGGTTCCTGGGATTCTTTGGCAGAAGCCGAGTACAGTGGTACCTCAGGTTACAGACGCTTCAGGTTACAGACTCCGCTAACCCAGAAATAGTGCTTCAGGTTAAGAACTTTGCTTCAGGATGAGAACAGAAATCGCGCTCCTGCGGTGCTGCGGCAGCAGGAGGCCCTATTAGCTAAAGTGGTGCTTCAGGTTAAGAACAGTTTCAGGTTAAGAATGGACCTTCGGAACGAATTAAGTACTTAACCCGAGGTACCACTGTATGTTCTTCAAATGTGCCTGAGGCTCACAAGGTTCCAGAAAAGGAGTCAATTCCAGGATTAAGCCCCAGCACATCTTCATTTCAAAAATTTTAAGCCTTGATTAAATGTGCAAGAGTTGGAGAATGTTCTGGAAGGGCTGAGGAAGTCCAGAGAGAAATAGTTTAGTTTTGCTGTTTCCAAGAGCAGAGACATCCCCGGCAAAAGGTCAGGTGGGCCAATGTCTCTCTCTCTCTCTCCTCACACACCACCCCCTTTTTGGGTTCTGTGACAGGTAGAAATTCAACAGGGGCTGTTTTCACCCTTGCAATATCTCCACCTGTGATAGGTAGAAATTCAACAGGGGCTGTTTTCACCCTTGCAATATCTCCACCTCAGGGCTGTGATGAACCTTTTGACAGCGTGGAACTCCAACTCCCATCAGCCCCATACATATTTTTCCCCCGGGTTTTGCAAATCCTTTATTATTTTATTCACATAATATACATTCTTTACAACAAACAACTCCAAAATAAACAGACATCTCCAAAATGAAATCATATGTAACAGAACCACAAGTCTCATGTTTTCATTTACACTGATCTCCTCTCTGACACCTTTACTTCATATTTCTTGCTGCTTTCTGCTTTCCTTATAGAATCTTTATGAAAATTTTAATCTCTTAAATCCTATACCAATCTTTAACAATTTCAATTAATCCCTTCACCTCCTCCCCCACAGCCCAGTACTTCACCCATGTGCGATCTTCTTTACCTACTATTATTGTTGTTATTGTTGCGTTATTCGCTTTATTTGTTATTCCATCCTTAATATATTATTACCCTATCTCCTTGCGCCTTTTAAACTTTTAAACATACATTTTTTGCCTGTGTGTTCTTGTTTTTATTATGTAGTTTGCATTTTCGTCTTGAATTTTTATATTGTGGAGATGAAGGGTGGTGTGAAAATGTAACGAAATAAAAACTTTCTGCCAGGAAAAAAGCTCCTGCAGACTCCTCCATCTCCCCACAAACACCCTCCAACCCGCACAGGCCTTTGGAAAACCTGTGCTTGTTTCACTAACCGCATAAATAGATGTCCCAGTCACTTGCTGTCTCCGCCTAACTACCTCAAAGGGTTGTTGTGAGGGAGAATTGTCATCGTTATAGAAGGGGGGGACCAAGCAAACCACCCTGAAGCACCTGAGATGAAGAAGGAGATGCAAAAAACAATGGATAAATAAGAATATTTAAAATGCATCTGTGTGTGTGTATACGCGCTGCACCGGTTGAATACCTGCCTGCTGAGCCACTCTTAAAGGAGCAAGGGCCCAGCTGATCCTTCAACAAAAGGCTTGCTGCCCCACCTTTCTCCATCCCTCCTGCCCTGCGCTGCACCCTCCATCAACCTGCCCCAACACGCACCTCAGCTCCAACAGAAGCTGCCAACACCCCTAGGAACAATCTTTCTCCCAAATCGAGCTCCGCCTGGCCCGGACTCCTGGGTCCTAACTCCAGCTGCAGAGCCGAGCGGGTGCCCATGGGCCAAAGAGGAACGTTCAGCCCCATATATACATGCCATATTCTATAGAAAACAGCCACAACCATGCACTCAAAACAGATGAAATACAGTGGTACCTCGGGTTAAGTACTTAATTCGTTCCGGAGGTCCGTACTTAACCTGAAACTGTTCTTAACCTGAAGCACCACTTTAGCTAATGGGGCCTCCTGCTGCCGCTGCACCACTGGAGCACGATTTCTGTTCTCATCCTGAAGCAAAGTTCTTAACCTGAAGCACTATTTCTGGGTTAGCGGAGTCTGTAACCTGAAGCGTCCGTAACCTGAAGCGAATGTAACCCGAGGTACCACTGTACCGTGAAAATTCCTGAAATGAGAAGTAATCGACTATGAAAAACCCTAAACCTTAAATGACCAAAATTCAAAAGAGGGGGTTAAAACTCCCAAAAATTCTGAAGTATCCTAACTTCAGAATTTTGGGGAGTTTTAACCCCCCTTTTTGAATTTTGGTCATTTAAGGTTTAGGATTTTCCTATTTCCTTCTGAAGAAACTGAATAGTTCAGTGAAACGAGGTTTGTAGCCCGTTAAGGCTTTGTACAATTCTAGGTTTTTCTAATTTTTCCCTTAAACTTTTTGATTTTTATTATTCAGTTTATTTCTATAAGATAATATTTCTAGTCGATTACTTCTCGTTTCAGGGATTTTCACGGTATTTCATTTGTTTTGTGTAATTTCTCAGTTACGTGACTGTCTTTTTTCTGATACAACCACGCACTCAGCAAGCACCCTGGCGACTGTATCAATCAATCAATCAATCAAATTTTTATTACGGTCATAGACCAGCATAAGCAGGGGCTGGGATACAATCATTTAGAATCTTACAGATTCTGGAAAGCTAAAAAATATAAAAACAGAAGGTATATCTGAAAGACTGTAAGAATCTAAAAGAAACGGACAGAATCTAAAAGAAGAGTTAAGAACATTTGAGGGATACAGAAGAGTGTAAAAGCTTAGTATATAAAAGACTACAACTATCAGATTAGAGAGTGCTCTGATGTGAGTGTTCATTCAATCTAGCTTGTGACCCAGGTCATCATCTGACGGATTTTGAACGCTGTTGTGCACAGTCTGGCAATGTCGTATGTTGTAGCAGGATTGGTAACTGACAGCAGCAAGGAGGTATAAAATTGTCCTGTGTGCCCTGAATACTTACAGAGTAGTGGGGAGATGAGGCTAATACACATTTTTCTATATCAGAATGAATGAATTTTATTATTACGGTCACAGACCAGTTCCGGCTCACTTACAATATCAGGGAAATCATAAAACACAACAGGAATACATTGAATTGCGATGTTTGTTGTTGTTTAGTCGTTTAGTGGTGTCCGACACTTCGTGACCCCCTGGACCAGAGCACGCCAGGCACTCCTGTCTTCCACTGCCTCCCGCAGTTTGGTCAGACTCATGCTGGCAGCTTTGAGAACACTGTCCCACCATCTCGTCCTCCGTCGTCCCCTTCTCCTTGCGCCCTCCATCTTTCCCAACATCAGGGTCTTTTCGAGGGAGTCTTCTCTTCTCATGAGGTGGCCAAAGTCTTGGAGCCTCAGCTTCAGGATCTGTCCTTCCAGTGAGCACTCAGGGCTGATTTCCTTCAGAATGGAGAGGTTTGATCTTCTTGCAGTCCATGGGACTCTCAAGAGTCTCCTCCAGCACCAGAATTCAAAAGCATCCATTCTTCGGCAATCAGCCTTCTTGATAGTCCAGCTCTCACTTCCATACATCACTACTGGGAAAACCATAGCTTTCACTATACGGACCTTTGTTGGCAAGGGGATGTCTCTGTTTTTTAAGATGCTGTCTAGATATAGCAGCAGTTAAAAATATATATTAAATCTTGATCCCTAAAATATAACCTAAAATTCTCATTGAAAACCTTAATCATTTTGGTAGTACAGCTTTTTCCCTAAGTTTTATGGCAGTTGCACAGAATTTGGCCACCCTTAGCGTGATCTCTAGATCCTTGTCCTCTACCAGGAGTTTTAGACATTGAAGTTCGGACCCATTTGGAGATTTTTGTATAACAGGAGTGATAAATACCGAGCGTATATCCCCGTAGAAACGGCAGCGTAACAAGACATGAGAGACAGTTTCTCTATATTGTATAGGCACTGGAAAAGCACATGCTCTATGGTTTCTGTTTGAAGCTGGTGGCTGTAGTTTATTAAGGGTGCTGGGAATTGTAGCATCACAAAGCGTAAACTACAGTTCCCATGGTTCTTAGTAAAAAGGTAAAGGGACCCCTGACCATTAGGTCCAGTCCTGGCCGACTCTGGGGTTGCGGCACTCATCTCTCTTTATTGGCCAAGGGAACCGGCGTACAGCTTCCAGGTCATGTGGCCAGCATGACTAAGCCGCTTCTGGCGAACCAGAGCAGCGCACGGAAATGCCGTTTACCTTCCCGCCAGAGCAGTACCTACTTATCTACTTGCACTTTGACGTGCTTTCGAACTGCTAGGTTGGCAGGAGCTGGGACCGAGCAACGGGAGCTCACCCCGTCACAAGGATTCGAACCGCCGACCTTCTGATCAGCAAGTCCTAGGCTCTGTGGTTTAACCCACAGCGCCACCCATGTCCCTATGGTTCTGGGTAGGTGGGTGGCAAATGCACTTTAAATGTACGTTGTGTACACAGCCTGGGAAGGAGTTTAGTCCAGCGGGAGAAAAAGTTTAGCTCAGGACTCCTGGGTTCCATTCCCAGGCCTACGCTCCCCCAAATGATTTATTGGCATCCCTTTCCGCGTGGGATTCTAGGAACTCGCAACAAGTCGTTTCTGGGACAGTGACTCAGCCTCGCAAGAGTCGTTCTTGGGAAGGAGGAGGATTTATGAGGAGGGAGCAACTTTCGGGAGAAGCGAGGGTGACTTCATTCCAATGAGGTTCACAGTTCTGCGCAGGTTATGGCACCCCAGATTGGGCAACGGCTTTGGCTCAGGAACGCAGCAGCCACTCTGGGTGCAGTAGGAAGGCCCCAGGGTTCAATCCTGACTGGAGAGCTGCTGCCAGTCAGTGCAGACATTCCCAGAGGCTGATGACAAACCTAGACAGCATCTTAAAAAGCAGAGGCATCACCTTGCCAACAAAGGTCCGTATAGTCAAAGCTATGGTTTTCCCAGTAGTGATGTATGGAAGTGAGAGCTGGACCATAAAGAAGGCTGATCGCCAAAGAATTGATGCTTTTGAATTCTGGTGTTGGAGGAGACTCTTGAGAGTCCCATGGACTGCAAGAAGATCAAACCTCTCTATTCTGAAGGAAATCAGCCCTGAGTGCTCACTGGAAGGACAGATCCTGAAGCTGAGGCTCCAAGACTTTGGCCACCTCACGAGAAGAGAAGACTCCCTGGAAAAGACCCTGATGTTGGGAAAGATGGAGGGCCCAAGGAGAAGGGGACGACAGAGGACAAGATGGTGGGACAGTGTTCTCGGAGCTACCAGCATGAGTTTGACCAAACTGCGGGAGGGAGTGGAAGACAGGAGTGCCTGGCGTGCTCTGGTCCAGGGGGTCACGAAGAGTCGGACAGGATTAACGACTAAACAACTAAACAACAACAACAAGGCCCTACTACGCCTTTAAGGACCCTTCTTTCCCCTCAAAGCATTCTGGGTGCTGTAGTTCGTTAAAGGTCGCTGGGAGTTGTAACTCTCTGAGCAGGTGAACTACAGTGCCCAGAATTCTCTGAGGAGAGAAATGTACTCTGGATGTGTTTTAAAGGCACAGTGTTGTATTCACAGCCTGGTTTTCTGCATGCACAAACACTTTTCTCTTCTCTGCCCTCCAGGGAAGCGAGAGGCTTTACGAGAATACGAAGGAACCTCCCAGCCAGACAAGCATCTTTCCACATTGTTGTTATTTACTTATTACCGACACTTCACCCAGGTTGCAACATTAACATACTGTACATTAAAAGCAGTTTAAAACAAGTTGCCTCCATAAAAACAAAGTAATGTTGTTTATTGGATCTTATTGTGCTAGCCAAAGGCCAGGGCAACATATAAAGAAATCAAAAGGAGGTTGAAAAAACCACAGCGGTTGCTACATATGCAGTGAAACTACGGTCAAATCCACAAAAAATTCTTATTAAAGGTAAAGGGACCCCTGACCCTTAGGTCCAGTCGTGGCCGACTCTGGGGTTGCGGCGCTCATCTCGCTTATTGGCGAGGGAGCCAGCGTACAGCTTGTGGGTCATGTGGCCAGCATTACTAAGCCGCTTCTGGTGAACCAGAGCAGCGCACGGAAACGCCGTTTACCTTCCCGCCAGAGCGGTACCTATTTATCTACTTGAACTCTGACGTGCTTTTGAACTGCTAGGTTGGCAGGAGCAGGGACCGAGCTCAGCCCATCACGGGGATTCGAACTGCCGACCTTCTGATCAGCAAGTCCTAGGCTCTGTGGTGTAACCCACAGCACCACACAGAATAAAAATCAATTCTCAAATAAAATGTGCAAATTAGATCTCAGAGTCCCTTTTGCAAATGACCCATCCAGTTGTTTCTTCCTAGGTAATGGCAAATGTCCTCTACGTGTGGTTGCCCACACAGACAGAATAAAAGGCAGCTATGAGGGCGGTCTGCCAGGGTTGATAAAAAATAAGGTGGGTTTTAAAAAAACAGCAACATAGAATTGCAGAGTTGGAAGGGATCCTGGAGTCATCTAGTCCAACCCTCTGCAATGCAGGAATCTCAACTAAAGAGTGTGACTGGTCTAAGGCCCAGTGTGCCGGCTGGGAGGAGACGTGCCCGGTCCCCGAATAGCCCACCGGCTCTTGACCACTACACTAGGGGTGGCACCCACAATTTTTTTGTTGTGAGTGCCCAGCCTCCACCCTCCGCTGCCAGCTGGCTGCCACCGCCTTGATAATTTTTGTTGCTGTTTTCTTAACGTTTTCCAGCTCAGTGACATCCATTTTCAGTTGAGGCGACCAGAACCCTACATGGTGTTCCTGATGTTCTTATACTGCAGATTTGTATTAGCAGTTTTATTCAGCGGGTCTCCTCTCTGCCTCCCTAGGCTCGGCTTTTCTCACATGCATGTGCAAAGTGTCGCCCGCTCTGGTGCCACCGCAGGAAATCTGTTTGCAATAAATGATTAGAAACACAGAGGATTAGAAGGTCCCAAATTCAATCGCCGGCCTGACAGATGACTTTCTGTTTCTAATAACAAACAATTTTTATTATGGCACTATTATTATTTAAACACATCTTTGTACACAAGAGAGACTTCAGTGCCAGACCTCGCCTCTGAAGCAAAACCCACACCCACACACCGGGAATCCTGCGAACTACAGTCCACCCCTCGCACAGCTACAATTCCCAGCACCCTTAGCAAACTACACCTCCCAGAATTATTTCGGGAAGGGTGGAAACGCGTTTGAGATGCGTTGTAGAGACATGATAGACTTGGGGGTTTTTTAAACGTTGTTTTAATTCTATTAGCGTTTGTGGCTTTTTAAAAAAAACAACGTTTTTAACTCTTTGAGTTTTTCTCTGCACGGTTTTAACTTCCTTGGTCTGGAGCAGCCTTTCTCAACCTGTGGCTCCCCAGATGTTGTTGAACTACAACTCCCATCACCCCCAGCTAGCAAGGCCAGAGCTCAGGGATGATGGGAGTTGTAGTCCTTTTAATGTTCAATAGGTTATTGTATTTTAGTGTTTTGTTGGAAGCCGCCCAGAGTGGCTGGGGGGACCCAGCCAGATGGGGGGTGTACAAATAATAAAGTATTATTATTATTATTATTATTATTATTATTATTATTATCCAACAACATCTGGGGACCCACAGGTTGAGAACCGCTGGTGGAGGAAAGGCAGGATGCAAAGTATGGATGAGGGCCGTGCGCGCATTTCTGGGGAAGCCTTGTACCCCTCCTACCCCCACCTTTCTCCTTGCAGACCCACAGCGGGGGCAGCCAGTTCATCCCCTCCTGCTTGCCTCCCCCTTGACTCACCCTGGTGGGCACCGTGCCAGCTCCCCACATGCCCAGAGAAGAGGACGCTTCCCTCTTACCCCGTGGTGCAAGAGGTGCCTTTCCCTCCCCGGATATTTCTCATAGTTGTGACACCCAACCCGGGCGGCTCCACCCCGCGCTCCTGACAGAAGACAGGCGCTGGCAGAGCCCTCTCCACTTCAGAGAGCTCCGAGGAGAAGCAGAGGCCAGACGGGAGCGGGTCGACCTCGGCTGCTGAGCGCCAGGTGGGTGCCAGTCCGGGTGCGCCCTCGGTGCCAAGGGGAGAGCGCGCCCTGGCCATGCGCAAAGGGGCGCCCAGGGGATCGCGGGTGGGAGCAAAGGATGGCTTCGCTGAGAATTTGGAAGGAGGGCGCGCCAGGGGGCACGGGAAGGGTGTGGGTGCCAGGGGCACGGATGGAGCCCCAGGGGTGATGGACCCTCTGGAGGGGCGTCCAGGGATCAGTGGAGGAAAGAGGGACTTCGTTGCGCATGCTGTGTGTGGTTTTTTTTGGGGGGGGGGGTGGCGAGAGTGCCGGTGTGGGTGTTGGTGTCAGGAGTGGATGAGCTGCGGGGGTGCTTGGTCCGCGTCGCGGGGAGTTCCGCAGGTCAGTAGGCGAAAGAGCAACCTGAAGTGTGCCTGCGCGTTTTAAAAACTCCGGGGAAGTTGGGATAGGTCTCTAGATCTTAAGCATTCATTTGAAAGATGGGGTTTGGGTTATTTTTTACGGGGGGAGAGTTGGCCTGGAAGATCAGTGAGGGGGTGACCCGGCGGGGGGTCTAGTCGGGACAGGAGAGGACAGGGCAGTCACAGGTGCGAATGGAGAAATCTGCGGATGGAGAAGGTTTTTGGGGGAGGGAGTTGAAGAGTTGGAGAAAATGCCTGGAAAGAGACGTGCGTTTTTGGTAAGGCGGGGGGGGGGCGCGCTCATGGAAGACGGTTCAAGAGGGTCTCATGTCGGGGGGGGGGGCAGAATTAATGTCCGGGAGGTGTGGGTGCTAGGGAGGCGAGCACTGAAAACATTTTGAGACTTTGGAAGAGGTGACTTTCCCAGTGATGCAATGCTGGGGAGGTTTTTTTGGGGGGTGGAGAGGAACTGGGGTGGGGTATTAGGTGGCCAGCTCAGGTCAGGACTTATGGGGCAGAGGTCCCTGGCCCCACTCAGCAGAATGGGCAGTGGGTCGCACCCCAGACAAGTGCAATACTGTAATTTGCATTCCTCTCTAATGAGGGACACCCCATAAGCCCATTAAGTTTAGAATCCAATCTTATCCAGCTGGGCTGGCTGAGAGGGAGTCCCCCTTCCTTGTTATCCAGTAAGTTGGTTTTGAAAACAGGTGGGCGCCCATTTCAACAGGGAAGGGGGCTTTGGGCCAGAGTTGGGATTTGGGGAGGGGTCTCGGGGGCAGATCAAGGGCTCAGCTTTTTCTAAGAAGCTGCCGGCCCGTGTGGACAATACAGGGCAGGACGGAGCGAGAATCTGACTCGGTCTTAATCTGATTTGTATCCCAGTTGAATGATGTCAGTTCTGGTTTGGTGGCCGTGATTCCCCGGCGAGGATTTGCAAGTTGTTAGAGACGGGTGAGCCTTGTTTGGGAGGGCACCTCCCTCTTGATGGGTGCTAGGAAAAGGGCAGGGCAGCGGTGCCAAGGGCAGAGGGTGCCAGGCGATGCAGATGAGCTGCGGGTGTTGGTGCGGCGAAGCTGCTAATCTCAGCTGGAGGAATCTGAGACATAGGAGACACTGAGAAGCTGCGGGCTTTGAAGGTTGAAAAGACGGCTTCCCCCTCACCTCACCTCTCTCTCTCTCTTTTAAATAGATATTTCTTTCTGATCCTGTAAGTCAGGACAGGGCGGGTAAGGGGACACCTTCGCATTTTGCAAAGATTCCACAAGGACAGCCTTGCAAGGCGGGTTTGGCCAAAATGGAGAGGGACTTGCCCACAGCATTTGGGGATGTTCCACGACTGAACCGGGGATTTCCTTTACAGGGGCCCTATAGAGGGAAGCTTTTAAATATGTGGCGTTTTATTATGTTTCTTTATCTGTCGGAAGCCGCTGAAAGGGGCTGAGGCAACCCAGTCAGATGAGGTATAATAATAATAATAATAATAATAATAATAATAAATTACTCTGCCCTGTTCTGGTTTTTGGAAATGGATTTGCAACGGAGGCTGTTTGGAGAGATTCGGAGGCAGCAACATCCCAGAAACCAGGGCCGAATCATTCAGAAGGTCCTAGGAATAATAATAATAATAATAATAATTTATTATTTATACACCGCCCATCTGGTTTCCCCAGCCACTCTGGGCGGCTTCCAACAAAGTATTAAAATACAGTAGTCTGTTAAACATTAAAAGCTTCCCTAAACAGGGCTGCCTTCAGATGTCTTCTAAAAGTCTGGTAGTTGTTCTTCTCTTTGACATCTAGTGGGAGGGCGTTCCACAGGCCGGGTGCCACTACCGAGAAGGCCCTCTGCCTGGTTCCTTGTAGGATGTTGCCCTGTCCTGAATCAGATCATCGGGATCCACCATTGCCTGTTCTGGCTGGCAGCAGTGGCTCTCCAGAGTTTCAGAGTCTCTCCCAGCCCTCGCCAGGGCCAGGGATTAAGCCTGGTGGGACCTTCTGTACGAAAAGGCGGGTGCTGCACCCCTGGGACACAGCCCCATCGCCCTGGTCACACTGCAAAGGGAAAGGGAATCCAGCAACAGGAGGGCGTGAGAGCTGATGCAAACCTTAAGATCTGGAGATCTGGAAGGGGAACAGCTAAAGCAAATACAAATCTACAGGATAAGAACATCAGGAACACCCTGTAGGGTTCTGGTCGCCTCAACTGAAAACAGAGCTGGAAAACGTTCAGAAAAGGGCAACCAAAATTATTAAGGCGGTGGCAGCCAGCTGGCAGAGGAGGGGGGGAGACTGGGCACCCAAAACAAAAATATTGTGGGTGCCCGCCCCCCCGGCCCCCTGGAGTTGGTGCCCCTGCCATCTGCTGTGAATGCTTTAGTTGAGATATCTGACTCAGTTGGTGGTGCAGGGATTTTGGGGGTGCTGAGGAAGAGGGATAGAATCATAGAATCATAGAATCATAGAAGAGTTGGAAGAGACCACAAGGGCCATCGAGTCCAACCCCCTGCCAAGCAGGAAGCAGCATCAGAGCACTCCTGACATATGGTTGTCAAGCCTCTGCTTAAAGACCTCCAAAGAAGGAGACTCCACCACACTCCTTGGCAGCAAATTCCACTGTCGAACAGCTCTTACTGTCAGGAAGTTCTTCCTAATGTTTAGGTGGAATCTTCTTTCTTGTAGTTTGGATCCATTGCTCCGTGTCCACTTCTCTGGAGCAGCAGAAAACAACCTTTCTCCCTCCTCTATGTGACATCCTTTTATATATTTGAACATGGCGAGCTGTTTTGGAGAAGGGGGGCCTCAGATAACCCCTGAGTTCTTGGGGTTCAGTGTGTTGAGTTTCAGGAATCTCCTTGCATATTTATTTTTCTAATGGTTCGTTTCTGAATAGATGGGGCAGTTTGTAAGCTGCAGTTTCTGGCCTAGAAGCCCCCTCGGCCTGGTGTGATACCGTGCACCGAAAGAAACGAACTCTGCACACGCTCAGAAATGCTCTCTTCTCGGGTGAAGTTGCAGCCCTGTTTCTCTGCTGGGGTTTATTTCTTTATTTCTTCAGCGTGTGTGGATGTGTGGGCTCCTCTTACCATCAGTATTCACGTTTTATACCATATTTTATGCTGTTTTTTGTAGCATCAATTAAGTTTGTTGTTAGCCGCCCTGAGCCCGGTTTTCTGAACCGGGAAGGGCAGGGTATAAATAAAAAATTATTATTATTATTTATATTATAATATAATATTTAAAAAATAATAAGGCAGCAGCCAGACGAAAACGAGAGCAGAGCATTTCCTGGGTCGACTTCCACTTTCTGTTCCTCTGTCCTGAGAGAAAAGGAGAGTTCTTGGAAGGGGGCCTCAAAGTTTAGTCCAAAAGCAAGAGAACCGCTTTGACCGGCATCCCTTCTAGCAGGGCTCCTGTGTGGCAGGCAGAAGTTCAACAGAGGCAGATTTTTTTCTCCCCAACTGCACCTGTTGGATTTCTGCCTGTCATGTCCTTGTTCGAAGGCCTTGCGAGAGATGGGAGGGATATGGCAAGCCTGGATCGAGGACCCTGGAGTTCTTTACAAACCTCCACCTGCTGTTGGGAAAAGGATTGCAAGCCAGGTCTCCTGGGTTCCCAGATTTGGCCCCGAGGCTTGTTTAGCTGTTGCTTCATTACAGCTAATGGCCCAACCAGAAACTCAGTTTCACCTGCTCCATCCAGCTGAACCGGCAAACCTCACCGTTCGCACACCTTGGCACCCTCATTAGCTGCACGGAGCCCGTCCCCATTGGCTACCTGGCCAGCAGGTGGGTGGGGCACCCTGGGAGATGAGCAACTTTTTCCTGGGAAGGGATATTCCCAAGTCTCCAGTCCTCCCAACGCACACGCAAGTCCCTGGCCTCAGCCGCGCCTCAGCTCCTTCCTGCATTCCAGGCCCTGAGGACGTCCACCTGTTCAGCCACCCGGATGAGAGAGGAAATTAATTCTCTGGATCTCGCCCAGTGCGCAAGAGGGCCCCTGAGCATGGGCAGAGTGCTTTTCTTCCCGTGCAGGGGAAACCCAACCTGCAGCAGCCCTCCTCCCCACCCCTGAGACTCCTGGGCTTGGTGGGAACACTGGGAAGCTGCCTTATAACTAAAAGGAATCATCAAGGTCAGGGCTGCCTGTTCTGGCTGGCAGCAGCACTGCAGGACTGCAGAGAGGGGGAATTGCAGATGCCCAGCCACTGAGCCAGGGACGCGGGTGGCGCTGTGGGTTAAACCACAGAGCCTAGGACTTGCCGATCAGAAGGTCAGCGGTTCGAATCCCCGCGACGGGGTGAGCTCCCGTTGCTCGGTCCCTGCTCCTGCCAACCTAGCAGTTCAAAAGCACACCAGTGCCAGTAGATAAATAGGTACCACTCCAGCGGGTTTCCGTGCGCTGCTCTGGTTCGCCAGAAGCAGCTTAGTCCTGCTGGCCACATGCCATACGCCGGCTCCCTTGGCCAATAGAGCGAGATGAGCACCACAACCCCAGAGTCGGCCACAACTGGACCTAATGGTCAGGGGTCCCTTTACCTTTACTTAGCCACTGAGCCGCAGCCCTTGCTGAAGAAGACAAACACTGGGCTGCTGCTAAACGGACTTCCATCTTGATGCACCCCTAAATAATAGCTGGAGGGGACCCCTAGGTTCATCTAGTTCACCCCCTGCGATGCAGGAATCTCAGCTAAAGCATCCGTGCTTAAAAACCTCCAAGGAAGGGCACAGACACAATTGGGCACTCGGCTGCCACAACAACTCCCAGGTGCTTGAAACCAGAGTCTAGCCCAACACCCCAGGGAGTCCCTGCATTAATATCTTGCGAAATGCGTCTTTGTAGATAAGGACGTTCCTGTTTCTTCCCTGCCGACGTTCATCAAGGCTGCCACAAAGTGCTTGGTTAGCTTTCAGGTTGGCATAGGAAACCTTTGGCCAAGGACTCTGCGGTGCCACCCAAAGTGGCCTGGGCAGGATGTGTGCATGGCAGAGGTATTCCAAGCATGCTAGCTGGTGGTCATGGGAACAAGCTCTTAAAGATAGCGGCGTTCCCAGCCGGCTGAGTGGAGGTTTAGAGAAAAAGGGACGGGAGGGAATGAGAGAGGTGCGTAAGAATCACGGCGGAGAACGGAGAAAATCTGTTCTCCCACAACGCCAAAACTCGCAGACACCCAGCAAAGCTGAATGTTGGGATCATCGGGCCTCACAAAGCAAAGTCCTTCTTCGCCAGGAGAGCAGTTGAGCTGTGGAACTCACTGCCACTGGACGCAATAAGGGCACCCGTTCAGATGGGCTTGAACAGAGGATTGGCCTTAGAGAGAGAGAGAGAGAGCTCAGGAATGGGGATCTGGCTGGCTGCTGCGAGGACAGAATGCTGGATACGTATTTATTTATTTCAGTCAAGAACCGGTTGAGATGCCGGACTCGATGGGCCTTTGGCTTGATCCAGACTCCAGACACGTATATTAATTCTGAGCCTCCCCCATCCACTCCCATTGCCCCAAGTTGCGTGAACTGGACGTTCCATGCTGCCTAAGGCGTCGTTTGAGAAATATTTGGCCCCATCGTATGGAAAATAAGGCTACCACCCTAGACAGCTATCCCAGAGCTCTGAATACTAGCCGTTGACCATGGAGCAGCAGAAATAACAGGTTATTGCTCGCCGTCCTGCTGCCGGGCTTCCCAGAGGCATCTAGGTGACCCACTCTATAGGCCTTTGCTTGTTCCAGCCGATTGTAAGCTCCTTGGGGCAAGCTACTCTTGCGCTCGGCGAAGCTGATAATGGCCCTATGGAAACAAACAAGGATAAAGATGTAAATTCCTGTGTGTGCCATCCTTAAAGGACCTGGGGCACCTTCCCCCTTGCTCCCAGGCTCATCGTGCTGGTTTTGAGCGAGGCATCCTTGATCCAGCCTTGCCCCAAATGGTGCAACCTCCAGGGGGACCACAACCCCCATCTTGAGGGCGCCAGGTTGGGGGACGCTGTATTTCTCTTAGGAACCTGCCTGTTGATGGAGGTGAGCCCCAGACATCTGGTGCTTCCACCTCTGGAAAGCACCGGAAAGGAGCTTCCACCTTTGGAAGTGGGTGGCTCCCAGATGCGGGGCCTTCTTTGTGGTGGCACCCCAGCTATGAGTTCCACTAACACGCGCCTATGAGGGAAAAGTTGGAATGTTTCCTTAGTGCCGTCTCTGTTGTCTTTTGGGCGTCAGGAACAGTCTACTGTGTTTACACTTTCCAAAGCGAGTAAAGTTGTTTGCTTAATCATTATGGATATTGCTTTTTTAACGCCGCTTGAGCAGCAGGTTTTACGATGCCTCATTATGTTAACAGCCAACTGCGGTTTTAATTGTCAACAGGTTTATCATTTTTAGCTTTTCTCTGGGGTTGTGCCAGGTGTCCTGAAGGCAGCGCGGAAAAGCAGAAAGGTCTAAAACGAATGAATAAAGTCCATTTCGGGGGGCAGGAATATTCCACCCAGACCCGAGCCCTGACCTTTCCGTGTGTGGATATTTTTCAGAAAAGGATAGACCGCGCAGCGTCAAAAAGCTGTGGCGAAAGGCAGACCCTTAACCTCAGGGTCGTGGGTTCGAGTCCAGCGATGGGCAAAAGATTCTTGCATTGGAGGGGGCTGGACTAGATGACCCGTGGTGTCCCTTCCAGCTCTACAAATCCATGATCGCTGGGTGCAAAATAATAATAATAATAATAATAATAATAATAATAATAATGAATTTTATTTATATCCCGCCCTCCCCAGCCGAAGCCGGGCTCAGGGCGGCTAACAACAATAAAATAGTACAACATTCTAAAATCATTTCATTATAAAATTAATTCAACTCAAATTGATGGCAACCATTGGGCTAGAGTTCTATGAGGATTACAGAAGGAGACAGGGGGTCAGACTGTGCCTTGGCCAAAGGCCTGGTGGAACATCTCTGTCTTGCAGGCCCTGCGGAAAGATGTCAAGTCCCACAGGGCCCTAGTCTCTTGTGACAGAGCGTTCTACCAGATCGGGGCCATAGCCAAAAAAGCCCTGGCTCTAGTTGAGGCCAGCCTAACCTCTCTGTGGCCCGGGACCTCCAAGGTGTTTTTGTTTGAAGACCGTAAGTTCCTCTGTGGGACATACCAGGAGAGGCAGTCCCGTAGGTACGAGGGTCCTATAGTGCAGCTGGTATAGCACGGGTGAATGTGATCTTGCAGTGAGGACCCCGTAAGGAGTCTCGCCGCAGGAGTGGGTTTGTAAAAACAGCACTCGTTGCAGGATCAGCTTGCGACAATAAAAAGCAAGGCGTGTGTTGCGCAGGTGGCATCTCACGAAAGGCTCGCAAAAGAAACCTTGTCCGAAACCGTAGAGAGCTGCTACCAGTCTGTGTAGACAGCACAGGACAGGGAGGATCAATGGCCCGACTTATCTAAGCATAGCGTGCTCGGACAGGCAGCAGCACCCCAAGCCCTCAGGCAGAGGCCTGTCACCAGCCCCGGCTATCTGGTCCTCTGGATGTTGACCCACCCAACTCCGAACTGTTCTTGTTGTTCCTGTGAGGTTTATCACCCACCTTTTCCCCATAGCTGTTATTCTTGGGAGCAGTATTTCAGACAGGCCTTTCCTGGAGATAACGGGGATTTCACCAGGGACCTTTCGCCCTTCCACTTTGCTGTGGCCTCTTCCCAAAGTCCTGTTTTCGACATGCAGGGAAATACCCAAAGCCTTGAACGGAGCCGATTCCAGCTTTACGAAAGCGTTTCTGAATTGTTCTCTCTCTTTCGCCATCCGGGCTGAGCGCAAGGACCTTCTGCCAACTCCTGACGTCTCTCCTTTCCTCCTTTGAAACATCTGTCCACATCTGGAGTGATGTCAGCTAGAGCAGAGGGCAGGCGGGCAGAGGTCGCCCGGTATGTTCTGGGGCGCCCGCCCAGCCCTATTTTTGACCCTCGGATTTCCACATCCAGAGATGGGAGCCCTCGTGTCCAAAGTCACCGGACAGCACCGCTGAGTCAGGAAATATTTGCACGCGAAAAGGGGAAGGGAGCCTGGAAAACAAAACAAAAACCCCAGGGATTAAGAGGTTGGGCACTGGATTTCAAGGAGGGAAATTCCAGGGTGTCTGGCTTTCTTTGGGGGGGGTCCGGGTCAGCACAGCCAAGATTTCGGGTTTCCCCCTAGACACATTCTTAGAAATGAGGTGGAAGAAGGAGAGAGGGTCATAGCTCAGTGACTGAGCACCTTCAAAGCCGCTTGCTTCCTCCAAAGAATTCTGGTAACTGTGGTTTGCTGGGAACTGTAGCGCTGTGGCAGATAAACTACAGTTCCCAAGGTTCTTTGGAGGGGCGTTGCCTGCTTTAAATGTACACTGTGTCCACAGCCTGTGAGCATTATAGCCAGGGCCCGTGGGATTCATAAAGCCAGGATCCTGCCATCTCCAACCTGGTGCTCTCCAGATATTTTAGTCCAGGGGTCAGCAACCTAAGGCCCATGGGCCACAAGCAGCCCACGGGGGTCATTTTACCGGCTCACGAGCCGCCCCCAAACTGAGCCGCCCGCTTGGCGAGTCCCCACGCACTGCGCGGATGCCAGAATCGGGCTCTGCGGCAGTGAACATGCCCAGGCAAGGTAAGCCTTGCCGACCCCTGTTTTAGTCTATAGCAGAGGTCAGCAAACTTTGTCAGCAGAGGGCCGGTCCACTGTCCCTTAGACCTTGTGAGGGGCCGGACTATATTTTGGGAAGAAAAAAAATGAACCGATTCCTATGCCCCACAAATAACCCAGAGATGCATTTTAAATAAAAGGACACATTCTACTCATGTAAAAACATGCAGATTCCCAGACCGTCTGCAAGCCGGATTGAGAAGGCGATTGGGCCGGATCCAGCCCCCGGGCCTTAGGTTGCCTACCCATGATCTATAGCAACCCCAGGCAGCATGGCCACAAGGGCTGTCCAGGGACTGGTCTCGGTCGAAAGAGAACGTCTGTCCTTCCAGTACTGTTATGTACTGAGTTGAATAGGATCCAAACTGCAGCAGTCTGATTGGTCCTAGAACAATAGGATCCAAATTGCAGCAGTCTGATTGGTCCTAGAACAATAGGATTCAGAATGCAGCAGTCTGATTGGTCCTAGAACAATGCAGCAGTATGATTGGTTGGCAGAAACCACCCAATCAAGCTCCAGATATAAGTGAATCCACAACCTGATTGGCTTACAGTAGAATTCCAGAATTAGCCAATCATGTGCAGCCCATTGTGTAAATAATGTATATAAAGCAGATACTTTGAGGGGACTTTCATTCATCCCTCCTCACCACTATGAGCTGAATAAAGAGCATGAAATCACTTTGCGACTCTGAGTATATTTCAGGTACCCTCCTCCCAAAACATTTAAGATGGCCTTGCCTAGCCTAGTCCCCATCCAGATGTTCCCAACTACATCCATGCTAGCTGGAGCTGGTTGGAGTTGCAGTTGGGAACATCTGGGGAAGCGCCCAGTTGCCAAAAAAACCAGGTTTAGATCGAACGGGGAGACTGTGGTCTTGGATTCCAGAGTCCTCTGGGACGGGAACTGTTGTTTTTTGCAGATTAGAATGAGGCCAGAGATGGCTTAGAGGGACGCCAATTTTGCCTATCCAGTGCTTTGCACTACAAGTCCCATCAGCAGCACCCCCCAAAAAACCAGGAGGGCACCAGGTTGGCAAACGTTGTGCTTGAACCAGTGGATCTCCAGTGTCAATGGACTCTGGGGCCACAGACACGCCGTATATTTAGAGCACCGTGACTCCGCTTTAAACACCCATGGCTTCCCTCAAAGAATTATGGGAGCTGTCGTTTTTTAAGGGCACTGAGAGTTGTCAGGAGACCCCCTCGCAAAACTACAATTCCCAGTGCTCCCTGTGAAGAGGAATTTTAAAAATAATAATATTTTATTCTCTTTTCCCCCCATATGGAATACATTTGTTACTCAGCAATTATATTCCAATTCAACCAAACTAGTCACTTTCCGTGCTCACCCCACATCGATTTTCATAACCCAAATTACAAAAAATTGTATTTTAAGGTTCTAATTTCCTCCTCTCCAGCATGTTTTTTAATATCTTCTGCTATTTTCTTGCACTTCAAACCCCGTTGTGGCCTTCACACAAGGGAATTAACTTTTAATATAGACTAGGAAAGGTTTCCAGTCTCCTTTGAAATATTTCAAATTTGTATATTCTTTCAGTGCCGTCAGTTTTGCCATCTCCCGTGAAGAGGGGTTGATTGTTCGTCCACTCTGAGAATTGTAATTTGGGGTGTGAAGGGCGCTTTTAAATGGCCTGACTGTGGCCTGGCTCCCACCAGCCAGTGGTCAGTGGTCAGGGATGACAGTCGGAGACAGAGTGGCTTTAATTTAAATCAAATCGATTTAAATTACTAGTCAGTAAGACTTGATTTAAATCATGTATATTTTTACAGAAAGACTCATTCTTGCTGGTATCATCTTAATTTTACAACCAGGTGAAGGTTTCGTGTTCAGAATAATAAATTTTCAGAGTAGTTTTTACAGTTATCTCAAAAATTACAGATTTGGTTATACTATTAGAAATGCGTCGACCGATCATTATGAAATTATTGTGAGGTTTAATAAGTTAACTGTTTATAGTTGGACAACTTTTCTGCTGCACCTTATTGGAAGGAGAAAAATAATCATTTCCTTTGTAACAGTTTAAACAATTTATTTAACTAAAACAATGACATTATAGCATGTATTCATGTTGGTTAACTGATGCGGTTAAACAATTAAAAAAAAATAACCTTAAGTTTTAGCAAACTTGAAACAAATCCTTATTTCCTGATGGACTATAATGTAACTTAAATAGAAAACTATCTTTAGAAGAGTGGCAGATGAGGATGATGGAATATGAAGAATTGGCGAAGCTGACTGGGAAAATCTGAAACCAGAGTGATCAAGCTTTCCAAAAAGACTGGAGTAAATTTGTACAACATTTGAAGGATAATTGTAAACATAGAACTACACTAGCAGGGTTGAATTAACAAGACTTGTAATGTTAATGAGTATTACCTTTTCATATCTATTTAAAATTTGGGATCATTGGAGTATGTGAAATGTATGGTAAATTGGAAGAGGTGCAAATGCTATGATATAGAAATGAATTATGAAAACCATGAGACAGGAGGGAAGTCGATTAGCTCATAAGAGCAAGAAGTAAAGTTAAGAATAAGGTTGTATTTAAATACTATAAAATGGAAATTTAAAAATATATATTATTTTTAAAAATAGAAAGATTTTTCCTCCAAAAGCCTTTTATTTTAAAAAACCAATTTAAATAAAAAAAAAATCCAATTTGTTAAAAAATAATAATAATAAAAATCTTTTGATTTTTTTTTTTATCCACCTGGGTTGGAGATCAATCACTCTGCAAGGGAAAGCTGTGAAATAAAGCCGAGAGAGCAGATTGGGACGCAGAGAGGATTATATCGCTTTAAAGAAGGGATTGGGCCTTCAAATGACTCTCACCTGGGCAGCATCTTCTGGCCATATAATCCTAGGTTTTCAGCGGCTGGGGAGAACACCCACAGGAAGTGACAAAGGTGGCTTAAAAATGAATGGCAGAGCTGGTGTTTAGCAGTGTCCCAGCCCTGGAGAAGAATGTAGAAAGAAGCCGGGCTTGATGATGGAAGAGGCTTTAGAGTAGAGTCATACTCTCACTCGATTTATTTGTGTACCAATCCGTTTCCCTGGCTGCCAGGAGGAAAGCGAGGCTTTGTGGTTTCGGCTGGTGGCAGCCTGGGGTGGTTGCCACCTTTTGTTTCTGGCGCGGTGCCTGTGCTCTTGACAGAGGCGTGGCAGTCCCACATTCAACAGGCGGTGTGGCAAGTTGGGGGAAACACCCCCTGTTGAATTTTGGAATTCCATGCCTTCCGTCCAAGGTACGAGAACCGATTTTTCCCCCCCAGGCTGAGCCTTAGAAGTTTGAAAGCCAGGACTTCTGAGTTGTCTAGTCTGGGAGGGAGTCTTTGCAGGTGGAGCAAAGGGGAACTCTGATTCCAAAATTGCAAAAAGACTGCTATGTTTCTTCTGCAGATGGGAGGAAGTTTTATTCTCTGTTAATTAATATTAATTAATGATTTGGTTGACCATCTGATAAGGGACCTCACGTGTCGAAACGGGAAAAGTTAATTCAATATGCATGCAGGAATTGATAGATGGATATTGCGATGTTCTGTAAGGTTTGAAGATAAACTAGAATTAATTGGGGAATATGATGGGGAACCATCTAGTAGGGCGTGCGGGAAGTCAGATTTGGGGGGGAAATGTTACATTTGTTCCGATTTGGGAAAATGTTAAATTTGTTTCGATTTAATTTGTTTTCATTAGTGACCGATTTGTTTAAAAAAAAATGAAAATCAATAAAAAAAGATTTGCCAAGAGAACTCGGATCGCGAGTTCTGGCATCCCTTTCTAGTTTTGGAAGGGAAAATCTGGGGGGAAGCTGTGGGTCCCGTCCCCCCCCCACCCCCTGCTGACATGGTGGTTCTGTATAATAAGTTCTGCCTCTGCCAAGATGCTATCAGATAGCAAGGAAGACCCACCATTGCTGAAGGAGATACGGGGTTACTGTTCCAGGCGCTGTGTCAGCCTCTATCCTGGGGCCTAGTAGTCAGTTACGGATGTGATGACTCTCTAGAATGCCCATTGCATGCTTCCCACACAGTTGCCAGCCTCCCAGCTGGGAGAAATAGGGTTTTCTGCTGCTAAAACGCAGCTATGTCTGGAGTGGAGTGAATAAAACAGTTGGGTACAGTGGTACCTCGGGTTACATACGCTTCAGGTTACAGACTCCGCTAACCCAGAAATAGTACCCTGGGTTAAGAACTTTGCTTCAGGGTGAGAACAGAAATCGCGCGGCGGTAGCGGGAGGCCCCATTAGCTAAAGTGGTGCTTCAGGTTAAGAACAGTTTCAGGTTAAGAATGGACCTCCGGAACGAATTAAGTACCCGAGGTACCACTGTAGTAAAAAAGGTAAAGGGACCCCTGACCGTTAGGTCCAGTCGTGGCCGACTCTGGGGTTGCAGCGCTCATCTCGCTTTATTGGCCAAGGGAGCCGGCGTACAGCTTCCGGGTCATGTGGCCAGCATGACTAAGTCGCTTCTGGCGAACCAGAGCAGTGCACGGAAACGCCGTTTACCTTCCCGCTGGAGCGGTACCTATTTATCTACTTGCACTGGTGTGCTTTCGAACTGCTAGGTTGGCAGGAGCAGGGACTGAGCAACGGGAGCTCACCCCGTCGCGGGGATTCGAACCGCCGACCTTCGGATCGGCAAGCTCTGTGGTTTAACCCACAGCGCCACCCACGTCCTACCACTGTAGTACAGACTCGAAATTCTGTCCCCCGGAGCTACAGTGCCCCTAGTGCCGGGAAACGGCGTTGCATTCACTGTTTCTTCTCTTCCTTCTCTGCAGACAAGATGCCGGTGGCAGACACTCGCGGGGACGCGGGGCGATGGACCAATGTCAGTTACCGCGTGCGGCAGCCCAACCAGCCGGAGACCGGGCCCAGGAGGAAGAAGAGGAATTGGTTCCACAAATGCTGCGCCTGCTGCTCAGGCCAGGGGGACGACGACTGGGGTCCCTCGCCTGGGGAGGTCCCAGGAGCACGGAGAGAGCCTGTCATCCGAGGTGAGCTTCTTGGGTGAGGGTGTGCGAGACACTTGCCAGGCGAGAGAGCAGGGGTGAAATCAAAAGAATGTGCAGAGTGTGCAGACATGTTTATTTTTTTTAATATTAATTTTTCTTAATTTTTCAACATAACATTTTCAACAGTAGTTCAACATACTTTCATATCTTATACCATTTTTTTTACTTCCATCAATCACATCTGAAAATTTTCCAATCTATTCACTTAATATACATTTCTTTTTTAAAAAGATTTTTATTCATTTTTCATTTTCGTTCACTACATGCATCTCAAATTCTTAACATTTACTATATATTTCTCCCTCCCTCCCCTCCAAAAGTTCCCCCAACTTGCGTTTGTGGTTTGTTTCTATTTTCACCCACTTTGCTATCGTTCAACAGAGAAAGTTATGAATAACATAACATCAAACCTTAAAAACATAAAAATAAAATTAAATACATCATCTTATTTCACTATCTTCCAAACATTTTCTGGTGCTAATAATGTGGGTGTTTATTTAAATCCTGCATTCAAGTCTATTGCCTTTCTTTGTTTCTGCAAATATAATATGAATGATTCCCAATCTTTTTCAAAGTCTCTGGGTCTTTTTCTCTTAGTCTTTCTGTCATTTTTGCCAGTTCTGCATAGTTCATCAACTTCTCTTGCCATTGTTCTTTAGTTGGTATTTCTCCAGTCTTCCAATTGCATTTCTTACTTCCACTATTACATTTAAATCTCATAACTAATATATCTATTCTTTTTGTACTTTGCAAGGTTTCGTATATTTTTCCTTACAAAACTCCTGGTAGCCCTACTAGCGTAATTTGTTGATTACAGTTGCTCTTCAAATAGTTCATATATTTCTTCCAATCTTCTGTGAATCTCTGGTCCCGCAGGTTTCGAATCCTTCCTGTCATTTTATCTAATTCTGCGTAGTCCATTAATTTTGTCTGCCATTCTTCTTTTGTCGGGATTTCTTCTTGCTTCCGTTTCTGGGCTAACAATACTCTTGCCGCTGTTGTTGCATATAAAAACAATTTAACACCTTGCCTATTAATATCTGAGTGTGCAGACGTGTTTAAATCCTGCTCATCATCATCACTTTTAATTTGTATACCATCTTTCTATCTTACAATACCCAAAGCGGTTTACAAGCTGAAGAAACAAAGAATGTCCACCTTATAACAATCTAACGCAAGACAAAAATGTGATAATGAAACGTAACTTTAAAATAAAAAACCTACATCAAGTAAAGTAACATTCAACAATCATTAGAACAGTATAGAAGAAGAATATCAGCATATAAAAATTAAACCGAAATCCACTCTTAACAGTTACAATAAATAATTGCTAAACTACAATCATCAATAAGACAACGGCAAGCCACAGAGCCTAAAACAATACAATGCAAATTGAGAAGCAGGGACTGGAGGGTGGGGCAAGGCAGGGGGAAAAGGCCTTGCCTGATGAAATCTCTCCCCTCCCCTTCTGCACTCTGGTGCAGCTGCACAGATTTTGGGCTTCTCTCGAAGTTTTGAAACGGGAATTTGTAGGAAGGTGTTGATTTTGAAATTCAGCTTTGAGAGAGAGGCTTTAAAACACACGTGCTTACAAAAATAGAAGTTCATCTGACTAAATCAGCCTTCACCAGCCCAGTGCCATCCAGGGGTTCTGAACTACAACTCCCATGATGGGAGTTATAGCCCAGAACATCTGGACAGCGCCATCATGGGAGTTGTGGCGCAGAACATCTGCATGTTGCCATCATGGGAGTTATAGGCCAGAACATCTGGACGGCACCATCATGGGAGGTGTAGCCCAGAACATCTGGACGGCACCAGGCTGGTGTAAGCACTGGGGAAAGAGATCTCCCCTCTTGTCTTCTGTAATAAAAGTTTATTTATATCCTGCCCTCCCCAGCTGAAGCCGGGCTCAGAGCGGCTGACAACAATAAAACAATAAATAAGGCATTATGCACATGACTGATACTGTTTTGACATGTGAACCTTATTGCCAGTATTTTAGGAACCCTTCTCTCTTCCCTGAATGGAGAAATCCACTGGCGATCCTTTAGCAGAATTGTTGGCAATGCATCGGAATAAATTCTGTCCCCTTCGATGGGTTTCTGCTGTACTCCTTCCATATGTTTTCAGGCCCTCCCTGTTTCCAACGAAGGAGTCTCGCCAGGCGAGATGTTGACATTGGTCAACGATGTGATGCAGCAGCAGAAAAAGCTAACACAATTCTGTGCTGGACCAGATCAGGGAAGTCATAGACCTGTTCTGTTCTGCCTTGGCTGGACCCCACCTGGAATATTGTGTCTGGTTCTGGGCGCCACAATTTAAGAAAGGTATTGACAAGCTGGAACTTCAGTTCCCTCCAGCTGAGGTGGGGGACTCAATTTCACTGGCAGAGGTGGGATGGCCATCTGTCAGAGATTCTGTCTTGTTAATAAATGTAGTCTTATTGATTTCCAATATATAAATTACAAAAGAGAGAGAAAGGTACAGAAACAAAACCCCAACTCTCTCCACTCCAGGACGGATCAATCTGTTATTGTTATTTTTAAATTTTTATTTATTTGGTTTTTCAACTTAAAATTTTACAGAGATATGTCAAACGTAAATCATAAACACAAGATTCCAAGGAATCTCCTTCCATCCTCCCCTTTGTGGGTCCTATTATTAATCATTTCCTCCCACATCTTTTGTGATCATCCGAACCCTTTACCTCTTCCGTTATGTCCAGAATTCAACCTTAAACTACAAGTGATACTCCACTAACGATTTTAACCGTTAATCTAGTTAAGTTTGCCCAAGTCCAATCTGTGATTTCGGTAGCTGCCATTCTTCAGCATTGCCAGTAAAGTGTTTCATAAAAGGATGCCGTGTTTCAAGAAAATCGCCCGCATTATTTGCATTATTTGATGCGTGTATTCTCTTGGTTAATGTTCGCAGTGCCGGATTTATGTATAAGCCAAACAAGCTATAGCTTAGGGCCCCACTCTCTTGGGGGACCCACATAAAAATTAAAGGGAAAAAAACCCCTGGGTGTACATTTCCAAAATATAAGATATAAAACAAATAAAATAAAACAGGCGTAGGCAAACGGCCCTCCAGATGTTTTTGGGACTACAATTCCCATCATCCCTGACCACCGCTCCTATTAGCTAGGGATGATGGGAGTTGTAGTCCCAAAACATCTGGAGGGCTGAGTTTGTCTATGCCTGAAATAAAACCTACATACAGCAACAGTGTTTTGTGTTGTGCAGGCTCCTATGATCTAAGGCCTGCTAGCCTGCTCCCTAAAATATCACTGTTTTGCTCCTTTCTATATAGAGGGTGCCTGCATTCTGCGCGGACTGCTTGCATGGCAACATGGGCAAATGGCTTGAGATACCTATGAGGTCCATAAATGACCATATAGAATATATTCAACCCCCCAAAAAAGTGACAATTTGTTGTTGACAAAGGACAGCTGGACATATAAAGGGCCCCATTGCCTTCAGTAGCTTAGGGCCTTGTCAAACCTAAATCCGGCCCTGAATGTCAGGGGTTTTTTAGGCAGAGATTTTTGCATTGCAGGGGACGAGATGAGCCTTCCAACCATACAATGCCGGGATTCCAATAATAATAATAATAATAATAATAATAATAATAATATATTATTTATACCCCGCCCATCTGACTGGGCTTCTCCAGCCACTCTAGGCAGCTTCCAACAAAATATTAAAATACAGTAATGCATCAAACATTAAAAGATTCCCTAAACAGGGCTCCCTTCAGATGTCTTCTAAAAGTCTGGTAGTTGTTGTTCTTTTTGACATCTTTTCCTCCCTCCCTTGAGCAGAGGGCATGCTGGTGGTCAGCGGTGTGGACCTCATGAGCGGCCGATCCAGCAGCAACCGCCGGGCCCACCACACGAACGAGTTCGAGTACGAAAATCTCATCCTCCGCCGCGGCCAGCCCTTTGACATGAAGCTCCAGTTCCGCCAGCCGTATGACCCTGAGGAGCACCGCATCTGCCTCGAGTTCCTTATCGGTGAGCGTGCCGAGAAATGGAGGGATATCTGGCCGTCGGTCGCGGGGGGGGGGAGGAGTGGGGCAGGGGCCTTCGCTGCTTTTAAACAGAGCGTCTAGTCCTTGTGACTGAGCTGCTGAGTTTGGAGGAACTAGGCGAGACGGAAGCAGGCCAGAAATAGCCCTTCAATGTTCTTCAGCACACCTTGGTGTTGTTCAAGTAACTCCGCTTTTTCTCCCAGTTGCGGAATCCATTGCCACATTGTACAGTGGTACCTTGGTTCTCAAACTTAATCTGTTCCGGAAATCCGTTCCATAGTTGTCAACTTTTCCCTTTTCTTGCGAGGAATCCTATTCGGAATAAGGGAATTTCCCTTTAAAAAAGGGAAAAGTTGACAGCTATGGTCCGTTCCAAAACCAAAGTGTTCCAAAACCAAAGCATGCTTTCCCCTAGAAAGTAATGCAAAACGTATTCATCCGTTCCAGACTTTTCAAATCAACCCCTAAAACAGCAATTTAACATGAATTTTACTATCTAAGGAGACCATTGATCCATAAAATGAAAGCAATAAACAATGTGCTGTAGTCACACAACGAATCCATCAGTAGCTGAACTGGGTTGCGCACAGTCACAAGAGCAAAACAAAAAAGCCACAAAAACGCAAGATAAATAGCAAAAACAGACAGACCTCAGCATAACACTCAAAATGGAAGCGTGGCACTCAAAACGGAGCACGTCCGGCTTCCGAAAAATGTTCGCAAACCCAACACTTACTTCCGGGTTTGCAGTGTTTGGGTTCCAAGTTGTTTGAGAACCAAGGGACCACTGTATAGGGTTGATGCCTAGCTTAGGGAAGTTCGAAAATGCACAAGGGAGGTGCCTAAATGGACCTCCTTCTTCTTGGGAAGTGAGGACGGGTGAGAGGGCTGTTGTTTTCGTTCCCCGATGATGGGCTTCCCAGAGGCATGTGTCTGAATGTATGAAGCAAGAAGGGTTGATCTAGCATAAGGTTGCCAGACGTCCCCGGATTTACAAATCAGTCCCCATACAAAATCAATTGAAGTTGAAAAGTTTCCCCAGATTCATTGAAAAAAATCTGGTAACCTTAAATTCTAGCAGGCCTGCCCTGGTGCGTATTTTTTTACAGGAGCTTGTACCCCTCTTTGCGCAAATAATATTCTGATCAGAGAATGTAAGTTCCCCCTGGTGCAAATCATGATGTTTATGTTTTATGCCTAACACAAATAGCCTCAAAAAGCTCAGGAGTGGGGTCTCCAGATTGGGGTCCCAGGCTTGCACCGCAAGGTGGTCACTTTGGTGCTGCGACCTCAGCAAAAACAACGCAGGAGTTCTGGGTCTGCAGCCACAGCAGGTGCTGTGATTCTCCAGTGGTTTCACTCCACCCTTGGAGGTGCACTCCATTGCCTCTCAAGACAGATATCAACGACGACTTCACACAGTCCAGGTTCCTGTGATTCTAAAGTGTGGTGTAGTGGTTCAGAGCGGTGGACTCGTAATCTGGTGAACCGGGTTCGATTCCCCGCTCCTCCACCTGCAGCTGCCAGGTGACCTTGGGCCAGTCACGCTTCTCTGAAGTCTCTCAGCCCCTCTCACCTCACAGAGTGTTTGTTGTGGGGGAGGAAGGGGAAGGAGAATGTGAGCCGCTTTGAGACTCCTTCGGGTAGTGATACAGCGGGATATCAAATCCAAACACTTCTTCTCCTCGCAGGGCAGGGAGGGGGTCAAACTCGATGACCCTCTACCGTTCTGTTTTGCTGCGATCCCAAGGTTCAGAGATGAGCCAAAACGCTCAGCAGGGCTTTGCTCAGCTGCCCTAAGTGAAGCGAGGTTGCTTCTGAGCATGTGCAAAGTGCCTTTCCCTCTCCTTCCCATTCTCACCCACACCAAACATTTCTTGGTCAGAAAGTAACCAGGACAGGATTGAGATGCATCTTAGCATCCCACAAATTTCACTGAGGCCACGGCTGCAGTGTTCCCTACTGCCGAGGTGCAGGCAGAAATTCACCGGGTGAAGCTTGGTTCTCAGCCTGCCCTCTTGGATTTCTGCCTGCCCTCCCCTCAGCAGCGCAGTTGTCCTGGGGTTCTGCAGCCAAGAGCTTTCGCTCCCAGAGGACGTGTGTGTCCCGTTTAGTGGCTGAACTGGTCTGTGTTCCTTATCTGCTCAAGTGGGCGAGGAATGTGGCTCTCAGCGTCCTGGGACGCGTTGCTAAACTTCGCTCGGGAGTGCAGGGTTTGGTAGCGGGGTTGGGCTGGCAGGCAGCCTGTTTTCTTGGCTTCCGGCCCAGCCGTTCCCATAATTAAGCCCTCGTTTCCCCCAACACCGCCATTCTGTTCCTCCTTGCCTGAGATTAAAAAACAGAAAACATCCCACCCTCTGATTAGCTTGCAAGGCCGGCCGCCTCTGTAATTTCTTGGGTTCAGGGGCCGGGGGGCCTTCTGGATTCCACAGCATCTACTGGGAGGGGAACGTGCTCCTTCGAACGGCCCACCCAGAATCACAGTACGGCCCCCTGCCCTCAGAGAGGGCAGACGTGGCGTTTTAGGAGAGGTACATTTTTGAAAAGACGTAAGAGGTGGTTCGCAGAGGTCAAGCACTTGCTCTGTATGCAGAAGTCCTGGGTTCGATTCCTGACATCTCCAGGTACAACTGCGGAACTAATAATAATAATAATAATGAGTTATTTATACCCCCTCCATCTGGCTGGCTTTCCCCACTCTGGGCAGCTCCCAGCAGAATACAGTGGTACCTCTGGTTACGTACTTAATTTGTTCCGGAGGTCCGTTCTTAACCTGAAACTGTTCTTAACCTGAAGCACCACTCTAGCTAATGGGGCCTCCCGCTGCTGCTGCTGCTGTTGCTGCCGCTGCCTGATTTCTGTTCTCATCCTGAAACAAAGCTCTTAACCTGAGGTACTATTTCTGGGTTAGCAGAGTCTGTAACCTGAAGTGTATGTAACCTGAGGTACCACTGTATTGAAAACACGATAAAACATCAAACATTCAAACTTCCCTGAACAGGGCTGCCTTCAGATGTATTCTAAAAGTCAGATAGTTGCTTATTTCCTTGACATCTGATGGGAGGGCGCCACCACCGAGAAGGCCCTCTGCCTGGTTCCCAGTAACCTCACTTCTCTCAGGGAGGGAACCGCCAGAAGGCCCTCTGCGCTGGACCTCAGTGTCTGGGCTGAACGATGGGGGTGGAGACGCTCCTTTGGGTATACTGGGCCGAGGCCGTTTAGGGCTTTAAAGGTAGCTGGAAACCCAGGTCACATAGAATCAAAGAGTTGGGAGGGATCAACCCCTGCAAGGCAGAATTTCTTTGCCCGACGTGGGGCTTAAACCCACGACCCTAAAGAGCCTCGTGTTCCATTGACCAAGCTATGGGCCAATGACCGCATCATACCTTTAAAGCACAAAGCTCCCCCGCCAAGGAATCCTGGGAAGTGTAGTTTACCTGTCGCAAAGCTACGAGTCCCTGCATCCGGAACAAACAGCAGTTCCAAGGAATCCTTTGGGGGGAAACCATGTGCCCTTTCTTAAAAGCAGAGGTTGGGTAGTGATCTGTCGGGGATTCTTTAGCTGACACTCCTGCAGGGTTGGACTAGATGGGGAGCCCTTCGAACCCCACAGTTCTCTGAGTCTATGAAATGAAGTTGGAGGGTTTGGTGTGGATTTGGCCTCTGTCAGAGGAGATGGCACTGGGCTGGATGGTCAAATAGTGAGTCGTGATGTAAGATAGTTCCCACTTGGGGACTTCCCTGGCTTTTTTCTGGCCCACGTAGGACCGGTCTGGATAGTTAGCCTTGGTGAAGACTTGACGTTTTCGTCCCCCAAAAAGTTTTTGAGTTTCTGCTGAAATGAGGCTGCATTTTATTGTTGTATGTTAATCTTGTTTTTAAGTTGTATTTCAATCAATTGTTTTTATATCGGGTGTTAGCCGCCCTGAGCCTGGTCTTGGCGGGGAGGGCGGGGTATAAATAAAATTTATTATTATTATTATTATTATTATTATTATTATTATTATTCCTCAACCCCGTGCTCAGTTCCTAAGGGGCAGAGAAGGGGTCGCCAATGGGAGGGGGGCCTCCACTGGCTATGGCCATGGACTACCCGTCTATTCTGCGTCGGTCAGGCCGCCACCTGGAAAACTGTGTCTGATTCTGGGCGCCACAGTTTTAACAAGGATATTGACAAGCTGGAACGTGTGCAGAGGAAAGCGACCGAGACGATCGAGGGTCTGGGAAAACAAGCCTTATAAGGTCCGGTTGAGGGAGTTGGGGATGTTTAGCCTGAAAAAGAGGAGATATGATAGTCATCTTCTCAGGGGCTGTCACATGAAAGATGGCGCAAGCTTGGGGTTTTTTCCCCTGCTCCTGGATGGCAGGACTCGAACCCATGGCTTCAAGTGACAAGAAAGGAGATTCCGACTCAACATCAGGAAGAAATTTCTGGCAGTTAAGAGCTGTTTGACAGGGGAACGGACTTCCTCGGGAGGTGGTGAATTCTCCTTCCTTGGAGGTTTTTAAGCGGAATCTGTTATGGATGCTTTAGCTGAGATTCCTGCATTGCAGGGGATGGACTAGATGACTCTAGGGGTCTCTTCCAGCTCTGTGATTCCCTCGGCCATTGCTTGGAGGTAATGTGAGTTGCTGGTCCCCTCACCTCCTCGCAAATAGAAGGGGAAGAAATGGAGGCAGTGAGAGATTTTACTTTCTTGGGCTCCATGATCACTGCAGATGGTGACAGCAGTCATGAAATTAAAAGACGCCTGCTTCTTGGGAGAAAAGCAATGACAAACCTAGACAGCATCTTAAGAAGCAGAGACGTCACCTTGCCAACAAAGGTCCGTATAGTGAAAGCTATGATTTTCCCAGTAGTGATGTATGGAAGTGAGAGCTGGACCATAAAGAAGGCTGATCGCCGAAGAATGGATGCTTTTGAATTCTGGTGCTGGAGGAGACTCTTGAGAGTCCCATGGACTGCAAGAAGATCAAACCTCTCCATTCTGAAGGAAATCAGCCCTGAGTGCTCGCTGGAAGGACAGATCCTGAAGCTGAGGCTCCAAGACTTTGGCCACCTCATGAGAAGAGAAGACTCCCTGGAAAAGACCCTGATGTTGGGAAAGATGGAGGGCATAAGGAGAAGGAGACAACGGAGGACGAGATGGTGGGACAGTGTTCTCGAAGCTACCAGCATGAGTTTGACCAAACTGCGGGAGGCAGTGGAAGACAGGAGTGCCTGGTGTCTTCTGGGAAGACAGTCCCAGATTCAATCCTAGGCATTCCCAGGTAGGGCTTGCCTGAAACCTCAGAGTGGTGCTGCCAGTCAGTGCAGGCATCTCTGAATTAGATGGGCTGGGGTTCTCACTGCACGAGGAAGGATTCCTCTGCCCCTTCCTATTGATGGTGAAACACGGAGCGGCCCTGTTTTGCAGGTAGATCTGAGATTTAGTTTATGGTGTCACCGCTGCAGCCTGGAAGGCAGGAAGAGGGAGTCGGTGAAAGGGACCTCTGAGCAAATGCAGAGTTCTCTCACTGCTGGAGAGACTTCTCACCCCAAAGACCCCGGAGGGTCCCAGTTACTGGTAGAATAGATTGTCTGAGCTGATGATATTTGACGGCTTCATTTGCTCCTAGGAATTGGTGTTGGCAATGGAGGGCGATCGACAGATCAGAAGGCGGTGTGCTCTTTTTGAAGAACTCAAGCATTGGGTAGGATGCGTTTAATAAGATAATTGAGGGCATTGGTCCCAGGGACCATCAACATCAAAGGGAAACCACAAAACTGCCCAATGCTACAAGGACAATTGATGGGAACGGCTGCTCCTGCCCAAACGGCCCAATTTGGTGCCCACATAATTATTTGGCTGCCGGAAATGAGACCCAGCAGAATCCTTTATTCTCTGCCTGGCTAATCACACAGATCCTTACCAACCCTTATTTGAGGCTGCTTCCGGAGAGCCCATTTCCTTGACCGTTCAACTATGATTTGCTTGCAGGGAGAGGAGATGACGTTTGCCATTTATGGAGCATCCTTCCACCCCGATTCTTTTGTGGGGAGGTTTGAGGTTTGCTGGCGTTGGTGTCACACTTTCTGCCTCGTTTTCCTTATTACACAAAAAAAGCACCCCATTTAGCAGGGGAGGGGGTTCGTTGCGCCAGCGGCGGTGCGCGATGGAGCCCCAAAATAGTGACAGTCTGGGTGCACCCTTTGTCTGGCAATTGAGCAGTCCTCCATGCACGCTTCAAACTTGGTTTCTGGCCATAAAAGCAGGAGTATTTTAGGATGTATTTTAATTGATTGCCTGATTTTATGTTAATGTGTTATACATTTGATGTTAGCCGCTCTGAGCCCGGTTTTGGGTTGGGAGGGCGGGGTATAACTAAATATTATTATTATTATTATTATTATTATTGGTTCATTCATACATTAAGTTGTGTTGGGAGTGGATTGAGAATCCATGTTGTTGTGAACATCCCTTGTCTGAATGAAAGTCTGGGAAGATGCGTTGGCGTCGGGAAGGAGGTAGTTCATAATTAGGAAATGATAATGACTTGCGTAAGCCCAATGTTCCCAGTAGGTGCTTGGATCCGTCCTGCAAACTGCTGAGAATCTAGAGGCACTCCAGAGCTGCTTTTCATCCAGCTGTTTTGCACATCTGGAATTAAAGGGAGCTTCCAAGCTGTTGGAGGGGGGGTCCCCAAATTCCAGAGCCTCTCATTCAAGAGGCCTAAAATGGGACCACAGCAGCCACTGATGGTATCAGAAACCTGCCAGGCGTTCGCCAACTCAGATCTCCTTGGCGGTGTTGCTGGCAAACGGGTTGCCCCACCCCGATCCCTGGCAGGATTCGTGCGTCAAGAGGATGTGGCCTGCTGGACTGAAAGGTCCATCCGTCGTCGTGCCTTTTGTAATGCGTCCACCACATCCCTCCAGGAAGGCCTGCTAGGAGCAAGGGGATGTGTGAAGGCACTGGCTCTCTCCTGCTCTGGGCCCAAGCAGGTAGACTGCATCTCTCCATGGAGTCTCCACAGCAGGATTAATGATAGCAGCCATCTTTCATCATGGTTGGAGGGGAGGTTAGATAATGATAAAGATAATGATAATGATACGGTGGTACCTCTGGTTAAGAACTTAATTCATTCCAGAGGTCCGTTCTTAACCTGAAACTGTGCTTAACCTGAGGTACCACTTAGCTAATGGTGTCTCCCGCTGCCGCCACGCGATTTCTGTTCTCATCCTGAAGCAAAGTTCTTAACCCGAGGTACTATTTCTGGGTTAGCGGAGTCTGAAACCTGAAGCGTCTGTAACCCGAGGTACCACTGTAATGATAATTCATTATTTACATCCCATCCATCTGGCTGGGTTTCCCCAGACTCTCTGTGTGGCTTCCAAAAAAAGATTGTTGTTGTTTAGTCGTTTAGTCGTGTCCGACTCTTCGTGACCCCCTGGACCAGAGCACGCCAGGCACTCCTGTCTTCCACTGCCTCCCTCACTTTGGTCAAACTCATGTTGGTAGCTTCGAGAACACTGTCCAACCATCTCGTCCTCTGTCATCCCCTTCTCCTTGTGCCCTCAATCTTAAAAAGATTAAAAACACGATAAAACATCAATTGTTAAAAACTTCCCTAAACAGGGCTGCCTTCAGATGTCTTCTAAAACTCAGATAGTTGCTTATTTCCTAGACATCTAATGGGAGGGCGTTCCAGAGGGCGGGTGCCACCACTGAGAAGGCCCTCTGCCTGGTTCCCTGTAACCTTACTTCTCGCAGGAAGGGAACCGCCAGAAGACCCTCGGTTCTGGACCTCAGGCTGAACGATGGGGCTGGAGACGCTCCTCCAGGTATACTGGGCCTTTGAGGCTGTTTAGGGCTTTCAAGGTCAGCAGCAACACTTTGAATTGTGCTCGGAAATGTACAGTGGTACCTGTTATATACGCTGCAGGTTACAGACTCCGCTAACCCAGAAATATTACCTCGGGTTAATAACTTTACTTCAGGATGAGAACAGAAATCACACGGTGGCAGCGGGAGGCCCCACTAGCTAAAGTGGTGCTTCAGGTTAAGAACAGTTTCAGGTCAAGAACGGACCTCCGGAACGAATTAAGTACTTAACCTGAGGTACCACTGTACTGGGAGCCAATGTAGGTCTTTCAGGACTGGTGGTATATGGTCTCGGCAGCCACTCCCAGTCACCAGTCTAGCAGCCACATTCTGGATTAGTTGTAATTTCCGGGTCCCCTTCAAAGGCAGCCCCATATAGAGCTCATTGCAGTAGTCCAAGCAGGCGATAATCAGAGCATCTGCCTCACCCTCCCTGGTTAAGGCTATTCTGCTAAAGGGATCCATGAGGAATTGCTTCCTTCCGACGCCCAGATGGGGGCTAGGGCCAGAGAACTCCTCCAGGGGGGAGACCCCTTAGGGATACACCTATTGGATGTAATCTCGTAGATGAGAAAGATCTTCTTGGAAAGATCCTCTTGCCAAGTCTTCTGGCGAGCACATTAAAAGAAAGATGTTAATTATACTTTGAGTCTTTTCCTGTCCTGGAATGCCCTATCGGTCGGGTTTCATAGGCCTTCATCACAACTCTGCCCTCTGGATGTTGTGCAACTCCCATCAATGCCAGCCGGCACCAGTTTGCGGAAGGCTCTCCTCCAGAACGGGGGCACCATTTTGTGCATCCCTGTCCTCCTCTGTTGTTCCCCGCCGGCTGCCCCCTGGAAACCTTTAAAACGAATGTGTTTCCACCTACGGTTTAGCCGCAGGCGGAAATCCACCAGGTGCAGCTGCTTCTAACAGTCCCAGGAGAAGAAACACCACCTGTTGGATTTCTGCCCACCACACGGCTGCTTAAAGGCACGAGGCTTGCGCCACAGGGTGGGAAGGAGAGTCGTGGCGCACCCACAGCCAGGGAGGAGAAGGAGAGACGCGGGTGACACAGCGATGGGACCTCTCGCCAGCTGCAAGCTCTCTAGGTGTAGGAGGGAGGAGAAAGGAGTCGATATGGAGGTGCCGCGCCCCACTTAAAAACAGGTTTGGCTTTTTCCTGCCCCGACCTGCTTGCTGGAGGCTGGGAGAGAACATGAGGAGGTTTGGGACACAACCTGTTCCCAATTGCCCTCCAAAGGATGCAAGGAGCCACCTCGGCCCAGCTGCTGGGTGTGGGTCTACTCTGAGCAGGGAGTGAGCGCACTTATCTCTCTGATGTGGTTCTTTTGCACAAGAGCCAAAGCAAGCTTTGTCGGCATACGTGCCGCAGTTCAACAGGTGCTGTGCGCTCTTCTCCTCACCGCCAGAGCCCACCAACCAAATATTATTTTCGGATAATAATCCCGTGTTTTCCTCCGGGAAGCTCAAAGTGCGACGTCTGGTTCTCTCCCTCCCCACACAACAACCCCGTGAGGTAGGCTCCTAGCTGTCAACTTTTCCCTTTTCTTGCGAGGAATCCTATTTGGAATAAGGGGAATTCCCTTTAAAAAAGGGAAATGTTGACAGCTATGGGTAGGCTAGTGGAGAGACGGGCAGGGACTGGGCCCAATGTCACACCTAGTGGGCTTCATGGCTGAGAGGGGATTCGAACTCAGGTCCTCCAGGCCGTGGTCTGACACTCTAACCCAGTGGTGTCCAAACTTTTTTCAAAGAGGGCCAGATTTGATGAAGTGAAGGGCCGTGAGGGCCATCCCAAGTTGTTAACCTTTTTTTAAGATTGCAGTTGTTGAGATTTCTTTAGGATTAAGTTTAAGTTGTTGAGGGTTTTTTAGGATTTTACCCACAGGGGCCGGATTAAACCTACCGGCGGGCTGGATTAGGCCCCCGAAACGGACTTTGGACATGCCTGCTCTAACCACTACACCTCCCGGGCACTCGTGACTGTACTATATATCAAACTCAGTTACAAAAACCCCTCTGATACAAATACTTCTATCGTTTTTCTCCTGTGCTCCTATCTTGAATCCTGCCCGCAGTTTTGTTTGTTTGCAATGCTTTTCCAAAAAGTCCCCCATTCTTCTGTTAAAAGCTCGTTTTGATCTCTTAATAATGCATAGCCCATTGCCTCTCAGTCCCCAAGCTTTTCGTTCGTCGCTCTGCCCATTTTCGCCTCTGGCCCTTCCCACCACCAGTTTGTGGCCCCCGGAAGGTCTTGCTCAGAAATAAATGTGGCCCTCAGGGCTGGGCGGGGGGGGACGGGACCCTCGCGAGAGTAGCCAACTTTCTCGGCACGCCTTGCTCCTGTGCCTCTCGCAAGCAACTCTGATCCGATTTTTCTGGTGGCCGAATATTTGTGAAAGGCAGAGGAGCAGCCTCGCTGGCCTTTGGGAGGGTCATTTGGCAATGTCCTCTGTTTACACCGCAGCTGTGTTCTTTTTTGGTTATCTGTTCCCACCTCTGCGGTCGTCTGAAATGCATCTTTCTGAGGCGGTGATGGGTCAATACCTCTCAAAAAACAGGCCCACCAAGGCTGCAGAGGTGGAGCACATTTTGTTTATGCTTTTCAGGCTACTTGAGGTGAAAACAGCCACCTCCTTGGCTGCTACCAGGCCTTGCTTGATAAAGCCAGCAATTCCTGAAATCCTAATATCAACAAACAAAGGAAATTGAGCGAGAGAAGCAGCCAGGCCTGTGGTTTTTTGTGGAGAAATGGTCAGACAAAAAAGAAAAGACTCTGAGTTCTGGCTGCGTGCGGAGAGATGTATGTTTCTCGTGCCCTTCAGGTTCAGGGTACTTCTGAGCATAAACAGAGCAGAAAATTTCTGCATTCAGATAGGTGTGCGGTTGCCACCTTTCTCTCCTGGGCAGAGCTCTTGCGCTCTTAAGAATTGGGTGGCAGGCAGAAATTTGTCAGTGGAAGCTTCGAAACAGGCTGCACCTGGTGGATTTCTGCCCAAAGCAAGTTATTCAAAGATCAACTGCTGCGGCTTAGAAATCCTGCTTTAAAAGTAATGAAATAAATTGCCTGGGTTGCTTATTGACGAGACGGCGCTTGCAATAAGTTGCACTTTGGCAATAAGTATTAGCAAAGGCAGCGTGTGGCAAGAAATTATTTTATAGCTGGCCATACGGGCTGCTTGTTAATCGAATCTGGCAAGGAGACCGGCAGCCCAGCGGTGCGTACGAAAGGGCATTGCACAAAAGGGGTGTCTTGGGCCGAGTTGCACACTGGACGTATATTGGGAGAAATTCGCACTGAGGACTCAGAACTCGCAAGCTGAATTTGAGATGAGAGAAGCGAGAGGCTGGCGTTTGCCCCTCCCTCTCTGTGGAGTGGCAGCCCTGCCGGGCTCAGTGGGGCGTCTGCCAAACCCAGGGCGAGGCACATTCCTGTAGGTAAGGCAAGCGGGTCCTGCGTTTGAAACCTGAGAAGGCAGCTCAGCGGAGGAGGGCAGCTGCCAGGGCTGAAAGGCAATGATCTGGACAGTTTGCGGCGGGACATCCTGGCTTGCTAGTGGGGCGGAACAGCACTGCTCTGAGGTTTCTGCCCTCCCTTGAAATAGAACCAGTGCCTGAGTTTGCTTCTTTCCTCCTCCCTCCTCCCTCCCTTTTCCTTTAGTGTCGTATCTTTTACATTGCAAACCTGAGGTGCAAGAACTGTAAGCCCGTCTTCCTGGAGCCTTTTAGGGGGCAGGGGGTAGCTGCTGAAGAGCTACAATTAAAAAAAAAACACCTGTAAAATTATTATTTTATTATTATTAATTGAATTTATATACCGCCCTATACCCGGAGGTCTCAGGGAAAAACGTGCTTGTTCAATCCTGGCTGTTCCTTCGCCCTCAGAGATTCAGGGAATGGCAGGTGGCAGGGCCTTCTCTGTGGTGGCCCCTGAGCTGTGGAACTCCCTCCCACCCAGGGCATCCGGTGCCCTCTTTACACATATTTTGGAATCATTTTTATTTGAGTTTACAAATACAAAATTATAACAGTCCAAATGCATATCCATATATAGAGATTTCTCTTAATCTCCAGATTCCCCACCTGTTCCGTGGGTCTTATTATCAACATTTACAACTGCAAATTATTCCATAATCTATATTTGATATCAATCCATATTATCCAGGGTCTTTGTTACATTACAAGTGAGATTAGAATCCTGCTAATGTTTCCATCTGCTTGCAGTCGTCTCCTAAATAACTTACAAATTTCCCCCATTCTTTTTAAAAGTTTTTCTTCTTTTGGTTCCTGAGTTTTCCAGTCAGATTTGCCATTTTGGCTTAGTCCATCAGCTTAGTTTGCCATTCCTCTCTGGTAGAGACTCTTTCGTCTTTCCATCTCTAGGCTAGTAACATCCGAGCGGCTGTTGTCCCATAAATAAAAAGTCTTTTCTGATCTTTTGGTATGTTGCTACCTATAATTCCTAATAAGAAAGCTTCTGGTTTTTAAACAAAGGTTATTTTAAACATTTTTTAAATTTCATTATATATCCTTTCCCAGAAAGCTTTTCTTACCTCACACGTCCACCACATATGATAAAAGGTACCCCTTACGCATCTTTTTTCGGAAGCCGGACGTGCTCCGTTTTGAGTGCCACGCTTCCGTTTTGGGTGTTAGGCTGAGATCTGTCTGTTTTTGCTATTTGTTTTGCCTTTTTGTGGCTTTTTTGTTTTGCTCTTGTGACTGTGTGCAACCCAGTTCAGCTACTGATGTATTGGTTGTGTGACTGCAGCACATTGTTTATTGCTTTCATTTTATGGATCAATGGTCTCATTACATAGTGAAATTCATGTGAAATTGCTGTTTTAGGGGTTGTTTTAAAAGTCTGGAACGGATGAATCCGTTTTGCATTATTTTCTGTGGGAAAGCGTGCCTTGGTTTTGGAACGCTTTGGTTTTGGAACGGACTTCCGGAACGGATTAAGTTTGAGAACCAAGGTACCACTGTAGTTGGCGGACACAGGAAGCAGGAGGTGGATCGCTCGGCCAACCGGTCTTGCCTTTGTTTCCCCCCGCTAATCTCTCTCTCTTTCTCTCCCCCCGCAGGTCCATCACCACAGACCTCAAAGGGGACGTACATTCTGGTTCCAGTGGGCAAGGCTATGGACGGAGGGCTCTGGTCAGCAGAGGTGACCGACACAGGCACAAACACCATATCCCTGCGGGTCAACACCTCGCCCAACGCCGTGATCGGAAAGTACCAGTTTGGGGTCAAGACGCGGACCAAGGCGGGCGAGTACCAGATGCCCTTTGACCCCCGCTACGATATTTACATCCTCTTCAATCCCTGGTGCAAACGTAAGTTGGCCGGCTTTCTTTTTTCTCTCTCCCTCTTTATGTGCATGTGTCAGTAGAGCACGAGGCTCCTAATCTTAGGGTTGTGGGTTCGAGACGCATGTTGAGCCAAAGATTCCTGCATCGCAGGGGGTTGAGCTAGATGACCTTTGGGTTCTCTTCCATCTCTATGATTCTATGAAGCTGCAGCGGTTTCTAATAGCCAGTAGTTGGAAGTGTGCGCTGTCTCTGACAGGGGAGGCAGAACATAGCCATTGGGGTCAGCGGCATCAATTTATTAGAAAAATTTCATTTATGAATAGATAGAGTGAGGAAAAGAAAGAAAGAAAAAAGTGAGAGAGAATAGGGGGGGGGAGAAAAAAATACTGTTACATTACCATATATTAATATAAGGTAAAGGTAAAGGGACCCCTGACCATTAGGTCCAGTCGTGACCGTCTCTGGGGTTGCAGCACTCATCTTGCTTTATTGGCCGAGGGAGCCGGTGTACAGCTTCCGGGTCATGTGGCCAGCATGACTAAGCCGCTTCTGGCGAACCAGAGCGGCGCACAGAAATGCCGTTTACCTTCCCGCCGGAGCGGTACCTATTTATCTACTTGCACTTTGACGTGCTTTCGAACTGCTAGGTTGGCAGGAGCAGGGACCGAGCAACGGGAGCTCACCCCGTCGCGGGGATTCGAACCACCGACCTTCTGATCAGCAAGCCCAAGAGGCTCAGTGCTTTAACCCACAGCGCCACCTGCGTCCCAATATATTAATATACAGATGTGTATATTACTGCCTTACTGTCCCAACACACATATGAGCTAATATATGCTGTGTAAACTCATTCCGAATATCAGTGTCTTTATCTGTGCAGATAAACATATTCAAAGTCAACAAAAGAAGTTTACTTACATCAGTTCACAGTTGGATTCCTGAAGGCACTTAGTTACCAATATGTACCTGCAGATCTACCCCATATGGGGGAATAATCCCAGTGCTTCTGCTATGTGAGAGCTAGCAGAGCAGTCCTAGCTAGAAGCTTGTCAAACGCAGAAAGAAGAACAGTGGTACCTCGGGTTAAGTACTTAATTCGTTCCGGAGGTCCGTTCTTAACCTGAAACTGTTCTTAACCTGAAGCACCACTTTCCTGACATCTCCAGGTACAACTGCGGAACTAATAAAATAATAATATTAATAATAATAATAATGAGTTATTTATACCCCCTCCATCTGGCTGGCTTTCCCCACTCTGGGCAGCTCCCAGCAGAATACAGTGGTACCTCTGGTTACGTACTTAATTTGTTCCGGAGGTCCGTTCTTAACCTGAAACTGTTCTTAACCTGAAGCACCACTCTAGCTAATGGGGCCTCCTGCTGCTGCCGTGCCGCTGGAGCCCGATTTCTGTTCTTATCCTGAAGCAAAGTTCTTAACCCGAGGTACTATTTCTGGGTTTGCGGAGTCTGTAACCTGAAGCGTATGTAACCTGAGGTACCACTGTAAAAAAAAAAAAGAGGGAGGTGTGCTGAGTGACTCGTTCTTTGGTTACCTGGACAGGTTAGGCCACGCCCACCTTCTATCACATGCAAAGGGAAGGATGCTCCAGCCAGGAGGAACAGGAACATTCCCTGGACCAAACATTCCCTCGCATGTCTTCTCTAGCATTTCAAGGAATGTTGTACTTGACTGACTCCCATGGATCACATCCCACATTTCAGGCCAGAGCCTTTCCCCGATTTTACGCGAGGGTCTCGTTTTCCCTAGCCTCCTCGCTGCTGGAAGGGTCTGGCCAGCAAAAGCTTGTCCGGATGCCAAGAACCATGGGGAAACGGTCTTATCTCTGTCTCACGCACACACCCTGCACGAAAAATGGGAATGATCTGCGGGTGGGAGGGGTGGAGAAAGGAAACCTTTTATCTCCAATGGAATATGTTGAATTAAGCACCAAAGAAAATAAATCTCTTGGCTCCGCATTATACAAAGGCCAGCCGAGCAGAACATTCAGGCAGTGTCAGGATAAGGGGTGCAAAATAACAAAAGGCACTCTGCGCATGCCCCTGGGACGCGTTCCAGAATATCAGGCGCTCTTCAGGGGCGGTCAGCTCCCTTTCCCTCAAAAGGGAAGAGTCGGGGAGGTTAAGTTGAGCTCATGAGAAGCAGAACTCCATTGCACTCGGAGGCAGAGGTGGGTTTGGAAAACCCCAAGCAAAGGGTGCCTCTGAGCATACATAGAGCACCCATTTTCCTTCCCACTGAAAAAATGATTGCAAAACACACATACACCCCAAAAAAAGAGTGACATATGTCATATAAAAGCATAAAAACAATATAACTTTAAAAACATCAACAAGACCCGCTCGGATGCTACTAGCCTAGAGATGGAAAGAAGAAAGAGTCGCTACCAGAGAAAAATGGAAAACTAAACTGATGGATTACGCCGAAACGACAAAGCTGATCGGAAAGCTCAGGAACCAAAAGGACAAAAACTTTAAGAAAGAATGGGAAAGATTCATAATTTATTTAGGGGATCGCTAAGCAGATGAAAACATTAGCAGGATTTTAATCACACTTGTAACGTAATAAATACGATGGACAATATGGATAGATATAAACAGTGTTTTTTTCTGGGGGGAAGCAGGGATATGTATACCCCTAAACATTTTGTGAACTTTTGTACTTTTTTCCATTTACTGTATTTATTTTTCCCAATTTGAACTATAAAATGGTGATTTTCTTGAGTCAAAATGAGAGTACCCCCTCAACATTTTTTTAAATAAAAAAAGCACTGGATATAAAATATAGATTATGATATACAATTGAAAACGTTGACATTAGGACGCCTGGAGAGGGGATGGAGGGGGGAGTCGTGAGATTCAGAGAAATCTCTATCTATGGAAATGTATTTGGTTTTGTTACAAATTTGTATTTGAAAAATCGGATAGAAAAGATAATTTAAAAAATCAACAAGAAAACACAATTAAGATGATAGGGAGTCAAAATATCCTCCTCCCGTTGGTGATTTTTCCACTCACGTTTGGTGGTCTCTGTCCTCCTTTAAAAGACCTGTAATTTTGAAGCTCCTGAATTTGCCCTAAACTTCCCCTCTTCCATTTTTCCCCATTCAGAGGATCCTGTTTACCTGGACCAGACCGGTTGGCTGGACGAGTATGTGCTGAACGAATCGGGGAGGATCTACTATGGGACCGAAACCCAGATTGGGGAACGCACGTGGAATTACGCCCAGGTAGGATGCGGTGGTGCTGTGGGTTAAAGCACTGAGCCTCTTGGGCTTGCCGATCAGAAGGTCGGCGGTTCGAATCCCCGCGACGGGGTGAGCTCCCGTTGCTTGGTCCCTGCTCCTGCCCACCTAGCAGTTTGAAAGCACATCAAAGTGCAAGTAGATAAAGAGGTACCACTCTGGCAGGAAGGTAAACAGCGTTTCCGTGCGCTGCTCTGGTTCGCCAGAAGCGGCTTAGTCATGCTGGCCACATGACCTGTACGCTGGCTCCCTCGGCAAATAAAGCGAGATGAGCGCCGCAACCCCAGAGTCGGCCACGACTGGACCTAATGGTCACGGGTCCCCCTTTACCTTTACCCTTTAGGATGCAAAGTGGTCTAAGGTCTCAGGGTGTTCAGTATTGTTTACATCAGCCCTCAGAGATGAGGCTGCCCGCCACTACCAGTACCCCTGTACAAGGTGAGAGGGGCCACAGGTTCATCGAACCTGCTTCTGGCTTCTCCTAAACTTCCTTAAAAACTCTCGAATCGCGATTCAAGGCGACCTTAACAGAGTGGAGAACTGGGCCAAAACTAACACAATGGATTTCAATGGGGACAAATCTCAGGTTCTGCACTTAGGCAGGAAGAACCGTCAAATAGAAGATGGGGGACACCTGGCTTGGCCATGTGAAAAGGATCCAGGGGTCTTGGTGGACCACAAACTGATCGTGAGCCAACAGTGTGGTGCAGCAGCAAAAAAGGCTAATGCTATTCTAGGCTGCATCAACAGAAGCATAGCGCCCAGGTCAAGGGAAGTGATAATATTGCTGTGTTGTGACTTGGTCAGTCCTGCGTCCAGTTCTGAGCGCCACAGTTTAAAAGGGATGTTGACAAGGTGGGACATTTGCAGAGGAGGGCGACCGAGATGATCGAGGGTCTGGAAACCAAGGCTTATGGGGAATGGATGAGGGACTTGGGTGTGTTTAGCTCAGAGAAGGGGTGAAACTGAGAAGAGATACAATTGCCATCTTCAAATATCTCAAGGACTGTTACACAGAAGATGGAGCAAGCTTGTTTTGTAGGACCCGTGCCAATGGGTTCAAGTCACCAAAAACGAGATTCTGACTAAAGTTGTGGGTTTTCCTTCCTTGGAGGTTTTTAAGCAGAGGTTGGATGGCCATCTGTCAGGGATAATTTAGTTGAGATTCCTGCCTCGCAGGGGGTTGGACTAGATGACCGTTGGGGGTCCCTTGCAACTCTATGATTCTATGAATTTTCTTCCTCTTTAGAATCATTAGCACATTACACCCCAGACTGTCAGACACCCATTCGGAGTGTTTAGCAGTGCCAACTATGTTTTTTTATATAAAAAATAAAAATAATAATTTAAAAGTATGAAAAAACTGACATTTTCCAGTTATGAATGTGTTGGGGATACACCCTGAGAAGCATGAAATGAAAGGAAATATGGATAAATGCTCCACAAGCAAATTGGGAGGTGTGAAGGATAAATGCTCATATAACCTCCCTGTGTGGGTTAAACCACAGAGCCTAGGGCTTGCCGATTAGAAGGTTGGCGGTTCGAATCCCTGCGATGGGGTGAGCTCCCGTTGCTCAGTCCCCGCTCCTGCCAACCTAGCAGTTCGAAAACACGTCAAAGTGCAAGTAGATAAATAGGTACCACTCCAGCGGGAAGGTAAACGGCGTTTCCATGCGCTGCTCTGGTTCGCCAGAAGCGGCTTAGTCATGCTGGCCACATGACCCGGAAGCTGTACGCCGGCTCCCTCGGCCAGTAAAGCAAGATGAGCGCCGCAACCCCAGAGACGGTCACGACTGGACCTAACTGTCAGGGGTCCCTTTACCTTTAAGCAAATCAGAACAAATCAGAACAAACGCTCAATAAAGGCCAGATAAAATCTAACCCCCATGTTAGCTCTGGGCAAGCAAATTAGGACGATGGCCTATTATAGGCCTTCTAGAGGAGAACCAAAGGTCTCTCTGACGTCTTTCGAATATAACAGAGCAGCACTGAAGCGCCTTGTGAGGTTATTCTGGTTATCTGCCAGTAGGAGGCACTGTTGCTTGCATCGTGGTGCTTTGCAGTTTTGCTTCTGCGGGAGCTCTTGACGGTGTCTTTAGGTACCCAGCGCAGTTTGGTGTGTGCATGTGAGAGATCTTTGATTGTGCCCCCTTCTCCTCTCCCCCCACAGTTTGACCAGGGTATCTTAGATGCCTGCCTCTACGTCCTGGACCGTCGTGGGATGCCGCACGCGAGTCGTGGAGACCCCATCATGGTTTCGCGGGTCGTCTCTGCCATGGTGAGCCCTCGGGACGGTTTCGGCTTCTTGCCTGACAAAACTTGCTTACGCATTTCCTTTTTAAAAAAAAAATGTCTTCTGACTTTCTGTCTTCAACTTGTACCCATCTATTCAGAAAGCTTGTAGCACCTGCCTTTCTGCATGGAGAAAGTCCGTTTGTTTATTGCATTCATATCATACCTTCATCTCCATGGAGCTAGAGCATGGGTAGGCAAACTAAGGCCCGGGGGCCGGATCCGGCCCAATCGCCTTCTCAATCCGGCTTGCAGACGGTCTGGGAATCTGCATGTTTTTACATGAGTAGTATGTGTCCTTTTATTTAAAATGCATCTCTGGGTTATTTGTGGGGCATAGGAGTTCGTTCATTTTCCCCCAAAAAATATAGTCCATCCCCCCACAAGGTCTGAGGGACAGTGGATCAGCCCCGCTGAAAAAGTTTGCCGACCCCTGAACTAGAGGGTAGTTCTCCACATCTCGTCATTTTATTCCTACAACAATCCTGCGAGGGAGGTTAGCCTGAGAGGCAGGAACAAGTTCACCCTGCGAGCTTCATGGTTGGGTGGGGATTCGAACCCTAGTCTCCCAGGTCCAAGTCTAACCACTATGACACCGCAGGCTACCTGGTAGATTTCTATTTTGGGATCCCTAATATGCTTCCTGCCTTTGGCCAGTATACCCAAAGGAGCGTCTCCACCCCCATCGTTCAGACCAGACACTGAGGTCCAGCTCTGAGGGTCTTCTGGCAGTTTCCTTGCTGCAAGAAGTCAGGTTACAGGGAACCAGACAGAGGGCCTTCTTGGTGGTGGCACCCTCCCTGTGGAACACCCTCCCTTCAGATGTGAAGGAAATAAGCAACTATTGGACTTTTAGAAGACATCTGAAGGCAGCCCTGTTCAGGGAAGTTTTTAATGTTTGATTTTACAGTGGTACCCAGTTTATGAACTATTCCGTTTACGGACTCCGCAAAACCGGAAGTAGTGTCCCGGTTTGCAAACTTTATCTCGGTCTAAGAACGGAAGCTGAACGGTGGAAGGGCACCGACGGCGGGAGGCCTCATTAGGGAAAACGTGCCTCAGTTTAAGAATGGTTTCAGTTTAAGAACGGACTTCTGGAATGGATTAAGTTAGTAAACTCAGGTATCACTGCACAATTATAAAAGGGGGGAAAGGAAGACATCTGAAGGCAGCCCTGGACAGGGAAGTTTTTAATGTTTGATGTTTTATCGTGTTTTTAATATTTTGTTGGGAGACTCCCAGAGTGTCTGGGGATACCCAGCCAGATGGGCGGAGTATAAGTAATAAGTTGTTGTTGTTGTTGTTTGTTGTTGTTATTAATACCCCGCCCATCTGGCTGGTCTTCCGCAGCCACTCTGGGCGGCTTCCAACAAAATATTAAAATACAGTAATGCATCAAACATTAAAAGCTTCCCTAAAGAGGGCTGCCTTCAGATGTCTTCTAAAAGTCTGGTAGTTGTTCTCTTTGACATCTGGTGGGAGGGCGTTCCACAGGGTGGGTGCCACCACCGAGAAGGCCCTCTGTCTGGTTCCCTGTAACCTCACTTCTCGCAGGGAGGAAACCGCCAGAAGGCCCTCGGCGCTGGACCTCAGTGTCCGGGCTGAACGATGGGGGTGGAGACGCTCCTTCAGATATACTGGACCGAGTATATCTAGTAATAGTATTCCTATTGCCTACACACTTCGGATCCATATTTCTATGGCACCGCCAAGTGGATTAAGCGCCGTGGAACTTCTTAATCTTAGCACACCTTTCTCATTGTAGAAATGAACCGTTAGAGGTGCTGCCATAAAAGTAGCGTACTCGCAAAGCTAAGCTGGAACCTGTACGGGGAACAGTGAGCTGAGATTCCCGCATTGCAGAGGGTTGGACTAGAGGACCCCCGGGTCCCTTCCGACCTGACAATTCTATGATTCTACTAAAGGCGAAGCAATGAAACCTTGTGACCCTCCGGGGCTGACACGGCACTTGCTAACCATGCTGATTCTCCCTGCCCCCCCCTCAGGTAAACTCTCTGGACGACAACGGCGTGCTGGTCGGGAACTGGACAGGCGATTACTCGCGCGGCACCAACCCCTCGGCCTGGGTGGGCAGCCGGGATATCTTGCTGAAGTACCACAAGACAGGCTACCCAGTTCTCTACGGGCAGTGTTGGGTGTTTGCCGGAGTCGTGACCACAGGTAGCTACCGCCCGTGGGGAGACGGGACGAGAGTGGACTCTGGGGAAGGGAGGGGAAGGGCATGGACAGAAGGAGGGCCTTGCAGGATCGGGTCCATGTGGTCCAGCACCCTGGTCCTCAAAGGGGCCGACCAACATCACATCCTCAGTTGTTTATAAGGATGGGAAATCTGTTGTCATCATTCCTTCACCCTCCCTCCATGTTTTTAACTCTCCATTGTCATCTCCAAGAGGCATAGGAAGGGGGGGCAGGGGGCAATTCACCCTGGTTGCCATCATGGAGGGGGGTGACAAATTATCAAGGAACAATTACTGCCCTACTAGGGCGGTTCATAAAAAACTTTTTTTAAAAAAAATGCCTGCTCCAAAGGTCTTATCTTACTACACTAGGGATTATATAGCTATATATGAAATTTCATGCATATCACTTCATATCTTGACCCTCCACGAAAATGGCTGCTTACCTGGCCGTTTTCCTATGTCGCGAAGGCTAAAATTTCAATTCAGTGGAGCACTTAGTGTTCCCAACCCTAACCCTGTGGAAAGCCATCTAATTAGACTTTAAATTAGATTTTTACATGTTTTTAGGAGGTAATTTAATTATTGTTTGATTTTATATCAATGTTATGTATCTGACATTAGCCACCCTGAGCCCGACTTCGGCTGGGGAGGGCGGGAAATAAATAAAAGTTGTTATTATTATTATTATTTATCTCTTCCCATTCCTCTTCCTCCTCCTTGTCCCTCCAGTCCTCCGGTGTCTGGGCATTCCAACACGGACCGTCACCAACTACAACTCGGCGCACGATACAGACGTCAGCCTCACCATGGACATATACTTTGATGAGAACATGAAGCCGCTGGAGAACCTCAATGCTGACTCTGTTTGGTAAGTACGGCGACCCTGCTGCCTCCATCTTGGGTTCCTGCGTTCAGGAGGAAGGGCGAACCCAGGACGGCCGCCACCCAAGTACCCCGCTTTTTTAAAGAGAAACTTTTTATTTAATGTAGTTTTCTGTGAATAAGACTAGGTTTTTTTCTTTAAAAACTATGCTAAAAAGTGGTGTTCGTCTTATACATGGAGAGTGCATACGGCGGACATTTGATTGGTTACTGCCGCGGCTGTCAGCGGCTATTGGGCGTGTTATTGGCTGCTGCGTCAAGGGCTGGTGTTGATTGGCGATTTTCAGCACTCCCCCCTTAAAAAAAAGTTCAACAGCCCTGTGCAATCCCCCCCCCATAAAAAGCTCAACAACTCTTGGCAATCCTCATCCCAAAAAGCTCAACAACTCTGAGCCATCTCCCCCCATTTTCTTAAATTTGAGTCCCTCAAAATAGGGGGCGTCTTATACATGGGTGTGTCTTATACATGGAAAAGTACGGTACACTTTTCAAGTTTACGCATTTCATTAGCTTTACAATCAAACATTTCCCCACTTTCTGTGGTTCTTTAAACTTATTTTACAATACCTTCTGCATATCCAAATTCATTTAGTTTGTTCATTTAATTATCAACTTTAAATATATACTCTTATGTAATAACTGCAGGTTATTACAATAACCCTGCCAATGTTTTTTATCTGTTTGCAATTTATCTATAAACGTTCAATAAACCATTTCCATTATTTTACTGGGGAAAAAAGTTTATCTTCATTTCTTCTTCATCTTCGCCATTTCTGCATATTCCCTAAGTTTTTGTCTCCATTCTTCCTTTGCTGGGACTTCTGCTTCTTTCTACTTCCAAGTACCCCATTTTAATTCTTTTTCACCCCTGTCTGGATGCAGGAATTTCCACGTCTGGAACGACTGCTGGATGAAACGTCCTGATTTGCCTTCAGGGTTTGATGGGTGGCAGGTTGTCGATGCGACGCCCCAGGAATCCAGCAGCGGTGAGTCAAGGAAGGATTCCTGCACACACAAAAAGACTCTGATGTCCTCCAGCTGTTTTGGACTCCAACTCCCATCAGCCCCAACTGGCATGCTTTACTGCACTGGCACACCAGCGCTGCAGGTGGCTGGAGGCCGGTACTGCAGCCATCCGGCCAGCAGGGGTCAGGTGACTTTGTGAGCCAATCAGACTCTGCTTGGCCCCATAAAAGGTGCTTGAATCACTGGGGGAAACTCCTGAGTTCGAGTATTGAGGAAGAATCCCTGGTTAGGAGAACAATTTGCTTCATGGTTTCATTTTTAAGCAACACCTGCCATGGTATGGACGCCAGTTCAAATCGTGCCGCAAGGAGTTCCGCAGATTAACGCTGGAAGCCATTGTCTGTTCTGGAAAGGGGACGGGGAGTTTGGCACGGCGCTCCGTCTCATCTCTTCCCTGCTTTCCTCAACAGGCATTTTCTGCTGCGGTCCCTGCTCTGTAGAGGCCATCAAGAACGGGCTGGTCTACATGAAATACGATGCCTCCTTCTGCTTTGCTGAGGTACTTGTTTCTGAATGATTTTGCATGTGCGAATGCTACTGAGAGATCCCCTGGTCATGTCACCACATCTCTGATTAAGGCTGGAACCTTCAGCACCAGGGAGAGCTCCCCAGGAATGCAGACGTCAATTCAATCACTAATAATAATAATAATATATTATTTATACCCCGCCCATCTGGCTGGGCTTCCCCAGCCACTCTGGGCGGCTTCCAACAAAATATTAAAATACAGTAATGCATCAAACATTAAAAGCTTCCGTAAACAGGGCTGCCTTCAGTTGTCTTCTAAAAGTCTGATAGTTGTTGTTCTCTTTGACATCTGATGGGAGGGTGTTCCAGAGGGTGGGTGCCACCACTGGGAAGGCCCTCTGCCTGGTTCCCTGTAGCTTTGCTTCTCGCAGTGAGGGAACCCCCAGAAGGCCCTTGGAGCTGGACCTCAGTGTCCGGGCAGAACAATGGGGGTGGAGACACTCCAACATACAGTTGCAATCAGAATTATTCCACCCCCCATTGCAGATCAGGTTTATTCTTAAAAAATTGCTGATTTTCAACTGTTTGCAAGGAGCAATCCAACAAAACAAATGGCAATAGCTCCACACAACAGATGTGTCAGGTGGTTCTACCAAATTCAGCTGAAAATGCAACTTATAGCGAGACTGGAGAAGCCAGGATAAGTTTTCAGCTGAATCTCACCTGATTTGCAACAGAGTGGAATAATTTCAGTTACAGCTGTGGATAAACAAAAGGTTAGAGCAACCTTCCCCAACTTGTGCCCTCCAGATTTTGCTGGACTCCAGCTCCCATCAGCCCCAGCTAACAAAGGCTGAAGGTGATGAAAGGTTTCAACAGCATCCGAAGGATGCCGGATTGAGGAAAAATGCTCAGAGACACAATCATAATAATCCTTCTCATCACTAAACTGGTTTTCTGCTATAGCGTCCAGTGAAATTGAAATATCCATCTATCCATCTATCTGTCTATCTATCTATCTATCTATCTATCTATCTATCTATCGACATAGATAGACATAGATATACAAGGTCTTTGCCACAGAAATGGGGATGAATACCATATATTTCTCTCTTCAAAGTTTACCGTAGCAATTTTGAGTTGGCAACACTTTGCTGTGGATTGCCGGCCTGTTGAACTTGTTGTGACTTGACATCTGGGTAAAACTTCTCTAGGGATCGTGTAGGTAAAGAGGAGAAGAAATAATAATAATAATAATAATAATAATAATAATAATAATAATAATATTTTTATTATTTATACCTCACCCATCTGGCTGGGCCTCCGCAGCCATGCTAGGCAGCTCCCAACAGAATATTATAAACACGATAAAACATCAAACATTATAAACTTCCCTAAACAGGGCTGCCCTCAGATATCTTCTAAAAGTCAGATAGTTGCTTATTTCCTTGACATCTGACAGGAGGGCGTTCCACAGGGCGGGTGCCACCACTGAGAAGGCCCTCTGCCTGGTTCATTAAGCAAGCTTCAGTTTTGGGGCAAGTTTAGCTCAGTTGGTAGAGCATGAGGCTGTGACCCTCAGGGGTTCGAGCCCCATGTTCAGCGACAGATTCCTCCATTGCGGGGGGTTGGACAAGATGACCCTCGTGGTCCCTTCCAACCCTACAATTATGTGAAATGACAAGGGGCAGAGAGATGCCCCTCTTCCCCCAAACAGAACCATGGGCAAACACAGTTGTTGGCTTTTACGACGGCGGGCCTGCTGATGGGTTTCTCTGACCTACTTTCTCTCTCTCTCCGCAGGTGAACAGCGACAAGGTGTATTGGCAGCGCCAGTCTGACGGCAGCTTCAAGATCGTCTACGTGGAGGAGAAGGCAATCGGTCACTTAATCAGTACCAAGGCAGTGGGCTCAAATCAGCGCCACGATGTCACCGACATTTACAAACATCCTGAAGGTAATGTGCTGTGTGGACAAGGGGGCAGACAGCTGGGATTCCTGAGGCAGGACACACACAAATAATTAAGAATAAGAATAAGAATAATACAGTGGTACCTCAGGTTAAGTACTTAATTCGTTCCGGAGGTTCGTTCTTAACCTGAAACTGTTCTTAACCTGAAGCACCACTTGGGGGCCTCCTGCTGCCGCCGTGCGATTTCTGTTCTCATCCTGAAGCAAAGTTCTTAACCCGAGGTACTCTTTCTGGGTTAGCGGAGTCTGTAACCTCAAGTGTATGTAACCCGAGGTACCACTGTAATAATAATAATAATAATAAATTTATTTATTTATACTCTGCCAATCTGCCTGGGGTTTCCCCAGTCACTCTGGGCGGCTCCCAACAGAATATCAAAAACACCGTAAAACATCAAACATTAAAAACTTCCCTGAACAGGGCTGCCTTCAGATGTCTTCTAAAAGTCAGATAGTTCTGTATTTCCTTGACATCTGATGGGAATAAAATCAAGATATAAAACCACAAAATACCTAATAAAAATAAAAACAAGAACCCAATAGCGCCCCCCCCCTCACAGAAAAAAAAACACATTTTAAAAGGGCATAGGATGTAAATCGGATCAACCAAAGGCCTGGTTAGAAAGGAACGTTTTTGCTATAAAATATGCAGGGATTTGTGTTTTGCAAAACGAACCGTGGAAAGAGAAAAATGGAAGCCGTTGGTATTTTAAGGTTGCTTGAATGAATACAGTGGTACCTCGGGTTAAGTACTTAACTCGTTCCGGAGGTCCGTTCTTAACCTGAAACTGTTCTTAACCTGAAGCACCACTTTAGCTAATGGGGCCTCCTGCCGCCGGAGCACGATTTCTGTTCTCATCCTGAAGCAAAGTTCTTAACCCGAGGTACTATTTCTGGGTTAGCGGAGTCTGTAACCTGAAGCCTATGTAACCCGAGGTACCACTGTATTTAAAAATGGAAAATGGAAAATGGAAAATTAAATTAAAATTAGGGGGGGGTAAATAAAAAGCACCATTCCAGGCGGTTTGGAATGAACCCGTCTTCGCTCTGGACCTTCACCTGCCCCTTGACTGCAGTAGCAGCTGAGCATCTCTCTGCATCCTTCTCCCTCTTTTTCTCTCTCAGGCTCCGAAGCAGAGCGCAAAGCGGTCGAAACGGCCGCCAAGCACGGCACCAAGGCCCACATCTACACCAACAAGGAGTGGGGTGACGACATCTCCGTGACGGTGGACACCCAAGAGGCCTACACGGGCCAAGACATCTCCCTGAGGGTCATCCTGAAGAACCGCAGCTCCATGCCTCGCAGCGTCTCCCTCAACCTCTTTGTGGCCGTCATGTATTACACCGGCGTAACGGGCAGCAACTTCAAGCAGGAGAAGAGGGAGGTCCAGGTGCCGGCCAGCGGAAGTACGACACCTTATTTATTTGTTGTTTTTTCAAATTTGTATACCACCTTCTTCCAAGGATCTCAGGACTTCTCCTCCTTTTCACCCTCACGACAGGCCTACGAGGTAGGCCAGGCTAAGAGGCTGGCCCAAGGTCACCAAGGGAACTTTATTATTATTATTATTATTATTATTATTATTATTATTATTATTATTTATTGAATTTATATGCCGCCCTTATACCTGGAGGTCTCATGGCGGTTCACAGAAAAGATCACAATATATAAATTCAAAATAAGATCAATAACCCAGTAAGGTAAAGGTAAAGGGACCCCTGACCATTAGGTCCAGTCGTGGCCGACTCTGGGGTTGTGGCGCTCATCTCGCTTTATTGGCCGAGGGAGCCGGCGTACAGCTTCCAGGTCATGTGGCCAGCAGGACTAAGCCGCTTCTGGCGAACCAGAGCAGCGCACGGAAACGCTGTTTACCTTCCCGCTGGAGTGGTACCTATTTATCTGCTTGCACTTTGACTGCTGGCAGGAGCAGGGACCAAGCAACAGGAGCTCACCCCGTCGCGGGGATTTGAACCGCTGACCTTCTGATCGGCAAGTCCTAGGCTCTGTGGTTTAGACCACAGTGCCACCCGCGATAACCCAGTAACACCCCCTCAGAAAGAGCCACATTTTAAAAGGGTATAGGTTGATGTCCATCAGGTCAACCAAAGGCCTGGTCAAAAAGGAATGTTTGTGCCTGGCACCTAATAGTGTATAATGAAGGCGCCAGGCGAACTTACCTGGAGAGAGCATTCTACAGACAGGGAGCCACCGCAGAAAAGGCCCTGTTCTTGTGTTGCTACCCTCCAGACCTCTCAAGGAGGAGACACACGAGAAGGGCCTCAGAAGATGATCTCAGATCCTGGGTAGGTTCATATGGAAAGAGGTATTGTGCCCTTGAGATATTGTGGTACTGAGCTTCATGGCTAAATGGGGATTTGATCCCGGCTCTCTCCCAGGTCCTGGTCCAAAACTCAAACTGCTACACCACACTGGCTCTTGGTCACCTTAAATCATGGGCCATGTATCTGCTTGGGCCTCCTGCGTCACGTCAAACAACCCCATTGCGAGGGGCCTCCCCGTAGCAGGGAAATAGTCAATGGACATGGCAAAATGGGTAGAGGCAGGACACTCTGGTGCGCTGGGGGGGGCATGGAGGAAATCCACAGCGCGTGGTGCGTTCTCTCTAAGTCAGTGGCTCTCGAAGGAGAGGATGGCAAGTGTGGCTGGAAGAGTCGAGGGCAACGAAAGAAACATTTAAACATTTCAGTGTAGTGCAGTAGTTTCGACAGAAGTTTTATGATTTGCAGAATACGGATATTCTACGCTAAAAGCCCTGCTCTGAGTTATAATCATCACCATCATTTGTTATTTATACCCCTCCCATCTGGCTGGGTTTCCCCAGCCACTTTGGGCGGCTCCCAACAGAATATTAAAAGCATGATAAAACATCAAACATTAAAATTTTTCCTAAATAGGGCTGCCTTCAGATGTCTTCTAAAAGTCAGATAGTTGCTTATTTCCTTGACATCTGGTGGGAGGGCGTTCCACAGGGTGGGTGCCACTACCGAGAAGGCCCTCTGCCTGGTTCCCTGTAACCTCACTTCTCGCAGGGAGGGAACCGCCAGAAGACCCTCGGAGCTGGACCTCAGTGTCCAGACTGAACGATGGGGGTGGAGATGCTCCTTCGGGTATACAGGGCCATTTAGGGCTTTCAAGGTCAGCACCAACACTTTGAATTGCGCTCGGAAACGTACTGGGAGCCAATGTAGGTCTTTCAAGACCGGTGTTATGTGGTCTTGGCGGCCGCTCCCAGTCACCAGTCTAGCTGCCGCATTCTGGATTAGTTGCAGTTTCCGGGTCACCTTCAAAGGTAGCCCCACGTAGAGCGCATTGCAGTAGTCCAAGCGGGAGATAACCAGAGCATGCACCACTCTGGCGAGACAGTCTGCAGGCAGGTAGGGTCTCATCCTGCGTACCAGATGGAGCTGGTAGACAGCTGCCCTGGACACAGAATTGACCTGCCCCTCCATGGACAGCGGTGAGTCCAAAATGACTCCCAGGCTGCACACCTGGTCCTTCAGGGGCACAGTTACCCCATTCAGGACAAGGAAGTCCCCATATCTGCCTGCCCCCTGTCCCCCCAAAACAGTACTTCTCTCTTGTCAGGATTCAACCTCAATCTGTTAACCGCCATCCATCCTCTAACTGCCTCCAGACACTCAGGGTTACTGCAGAGCGGGTTTCAGCGATCTTTGGAAGTTGCCGAAGACTCTTCCGCAGACTGTGGCAATCAACTGAGTGTTTAAGGGATAAAGTAAATAAATACTAAAGCAGTCCGTCTCTCAGGGAACCTGGTCCCGAGCTGCGTAGAGCCACAGGTTGTGCGTAGAGCTGGTTGTGATTTTCGGTCCCAGTTTGCGTAACCCTTCCCCTGCCTTTCCCTTCCAGGCCAGGCTGTTCCCATGGTGGTCTCCTACGCAGAGTACAAGCCCCACTTGGTTGACCAGGGAGCCATGAAGCTGAGCATCTCGGGGAAAGTGGCCGAAACCGGCCAGGTGATCGCGAAGGAGCACACCTTCCGTCTGCGGACGCCGGACCTCACCCTGACGGTATGGCGCAGGGGCTGTGGTTTAGAGTCAGGGGTGGGGGAACTCTTTGGGGTGAGGGGGGGCTTGAGGGCCACTTTCTCTTCTGGGCAGCCTTTGGAGGGCCAGTTGCCATGGTGGGCGGGGCCAGAGACCAAAGTGGGTGGAGCCATGGATGTAAACATTGCCTTTGTGTGTAATTACCTCGCTGTCCTCCGTGTAGACAAGCCAAAGGGAATTTGAGGGGTTTGAGGACAGATTTGAGTCGTGGAGCTTAACTAGCAAGCAGGAGTGTCCAGAAGAGGGTTTTGAGAGCCAGATAAAGAAGCATGGGGGGGCCACAGGGATGACGTCCCACACCCAGGGGACTATGCCTAGAAAACCAGGTGTTCGTAGTGGGGTTCCGGGGCCACAGGAATGCCAGTGGATCCCAGGCAGTTTTCAACACCCCAGTTGACTCGAATGGATCGTTAACGAGCATTTTAGTCCTGTTAAATAAACAAAACAAGAACTGCAAAGAATATACAATTTTTTGGGGGGGGATGATTATAAAAAGGGGAGATAAAGATGAAAATACAGTGGTACCTCAGTTTACGAACAGCCCTGTTTAAGAACTATTCGGTTTACGAACTCCACAAAACCAGAAGTAGTGTTCCGGTTTGAGAACTTTACCTTGGTCTACAAATGGAATCCAAAGAGTGGAAGGGCACCGGCGGTGGGAGGCCTCATTAGGGAAAGCTCGCCTCGGTTTAAGAAAAGGTTTCAGTTTAAGAACGGACCTCTGGAATTCAGTTCGTAAACCGAGGTACCCCTTATAAAAGGGGAAACCAGTGAAATACTTAAAATGTTAGTAGAAAGGGAAGATCAAGAAGACAAATTCAAAGAGAAAAGGAGACAATGGGGCAGATGGGTGGTCAAAGCTGTGGGGGGTGGAATGGAAGAATCATACATTGAAAATGTTGTCTATAAGAATAAAAGAAAATATGCTATATGGTTATTTATGGGCCTCACAGGTATCTCAAACCATTTGCCCATGTTGCCCTGCAACCAGTCCATGCAGAATGTAGGCACCCTATATATAGAAAGGAGCAAACCAGTGATATTTTAGGGAGCAGGCGAGCAGGCCTTACATCATAGGAGCCTGCACAAAACACTGTTGCTGTATGTAGGTTTTATTTGTTTTTTATCTTATATTTTGGTAATGTACATCCAGTTGTTGTTTTTTTAATTTTTTGGGGGGCCCCCAAGAGAGTGGGGCCCTAGACGATAGCTTGCTTAGCTTATACGTAAATCTGGAACTATGCGTCCCTTGACAATGCTTTCTCTCTTCTCTCCTTTCTCTCGTTCCGACAACAGTTGCTGGGCCCAGCTATCGTTGGACAAGAAACCCAAGTCCAGATTGTCTTCAAGAACCCCCTTCCGGTGACGCTGACAGGGGCCATCTTCCATATGGAGGGCTCGGGGCTCTCTACCCCAAATACAATGACAGTGGGGTGAGTAAACCTACCTTTCCCAGGATTCTTTGGGACAGGGCTGCCATTTAAGGGCATTGTGCATCTGAAACAATAGCCATCTTCCCTTCATCGGAAGATTACCAGGTGCTACACGAAAGCGCTCAGCAAAATTCACATCGCGTAATTCAAATGCAATTTTAAACACTCAACAAATCAGAGCTGAGAGGAGGAAAAGGGCAAATAAAAAGCTCCCCAAATTTGATTCAATCTACAGATCAAAATAATAATAATAATAAATTATTATTGTAACATTCAGAGCTTTTTTCCTGGGGGGGACACAGGGGTACGCATACCTCTAAACATTTTGTGAATCTAAATTCAGCCTCATTGAAGGGCAGTACTTCAATATGAATAGGAAAATGAGAGTACCCCTAAACATTTTTTAGGGGGGGAGCACTGGTAATATTTATACCCTGCCCATCTGTCTGGGTTGCCAGATAGCTCCCTAGTTTTCATTTTGTCCTTAATTCAGGAGTTGCTTATGACAGAGGCTTTGGGGTGGAACCTTAAACCAAATTAGTGAAGAGTTGACCAAAGTAAGGCACAATGTTTCTAGTCAGAACCTGCAATTAGGTTCTCGCATACCCAGAATTGGTGGATTGGACTCCTCAAGCCCTGGCACTGGACCAGAACGTTGGTGGCACTGTGGGTTAAACCACTGAGCCTCTTGGGCTTGCTGATCAGAAGGTCAGCGGTTCAAATCCCCACGACGGAGTGAGCGCCCGTTGCTCGGTCCCTGCTCCTGCCAACCTAGTAGTTCGAAAGCACACCAGTGCAAGTAGATAAATACGTACCGCTGTGGCGGGAAGGTAAATGGCGTTTCCGTGTGCTCTGGTTTCCGTCGCTGTGTCCCATTCCGCCAGAAGCAGTTTAGTCCTGCTGACCACACGACCAGGAAAGCTGTCTGCGGACAAACGCTGGCTCCCTTGGCCTGAAAGTGAGATGAGCGCCAAAACCCCATAGTCACCTTTGACTGGATTTAACCATGAGGGGTTCTTTACCTTTTTACTTCGGAAACCTGGCCTTTCTGAAAACACAGGCTGGGGAACCTGACTCTCTCTTTCTCCCCCTTCTGCAGAAATATCGGCCCACACCAAACAGTGACGCTACGACAGACGTTCACACCTCTCCGTGCAGGCCAGCGCCAGCTGGTTGCCAGCTTAGACAGCCCTCAGCTCTCGCAGGTCCACGGGGTGCTGACGATCGAGGTGACCCAGGGACCCCCACGAGGCCCCTCGTCAGCTTCTCCAGCCCCCGTTCGGGGGTCTCCGGCCCGCGGACGAGCTTCCCCGGCCCACGGACGGGCTTCTCCGGCCCCCGCCCGAGCCTCGCCTGCACCTTCTCCGGCCCCCGCCCGAGCCTCGCCTGCACCTTCTCCCGCCCTCACCAGGGCGTCTCCGGCTCGCCAGCCGACAGGCCGCAGCAGCCCAGCCAATGCCCGCAGGTCTCCGGCCCGCCAGCCAGACCCTCGAGGCTCCCCCAATGTCCGTGGGTCGCCTGCCGTGCGGGCGGGGCGTGGGGTCTGAGGGAGACCTTTTTAGCTTTTTATTTTTTTATTTTTAATGTGATGTCCTGTGTGATGAATTGCATACGGTGCCAGCAGAACTGGGAGCAACATGAGGGGGGCATGTTATGAATGAGCCACAGAACCACAGCAGTTCTGCAGGATGAGGGCATGCCAAGGCCTCGATATTCGGTTGTCTCTCAGCCGTCCATCACCCATATACGGCCCACCCTGCTGCCCCTGCCCGTTATTTGCCATTGCCCAGTTATATCTCTGCTTCCCCCGTCCCCTCACACAATTTGTTCTATTGTTCCTTCCCCTTTTCCTTGCTCTCCGTACCCGCTCCCCACAAAACTCGCGACTCTGAGCCCATGTTGACCTGCCCCTCTCTGCCTGTCCGTCCATCTTCTGCCTGAATGTTTGCCATCGCCTCACATACCTGCACTGTCAATTTCACTCTCTCCCAAGCCCAAGGGCCAAGCGTTGCCAGCACCCTACAAATCCACTCCCTCTTTCTTGATCGCTGGGATCCCCTGAAAGATTTTTGTACTGGTTGTTCTCTTTTGCTCCTTCGCACACCTTTTGTTTTTAAATAATACACTGAACCTCACTCTCTCGCACAGGCACAACACTTGCTCCCCCAAAAAGGCAAGCAATGAGCTTCCGAAGGGAGAAGATACACAGGGGTTTTTTTTAAGTTGTCCTAAGTAAATCCAGCTTGATCCCCACCATATCCACTGGAAATTTAACGCCACATTTACATTAGATGAATCTTGCCACTTTCTTATCTCTCTCCTTGGGTCACCGGTACAAGGAGGTTATCAGGCACTGGTTGTGTTGGGGGAAGGATTTTTCTCCCTGCCTTCCTAAAATGGTAACAGCAAGGAAGACAACGGAAACTGCTTGAGGAAGACTACTAACCCACCGCAAAATGCATTAATTGGCCATTGGCTGCCTTGCCTCTGTTCACTTATTTAAATGTATGCAAACACCAAATGTCCACAATCTTCCTTAACTTTGCACTGAAACCAAGCTGTGCGTGCTTTTAAAAAGAAGAGCCAAAATAACATGTTTGTAGCTAGCCAGATGACAGCGCTGTGATTATGTGAAGATATGATAAATTGTGCTACATTTAAACTACATGCAAACGAGTGAAGCCAAAGCCTGTTACTCTTATTTTTCACACTTAATATAGGTATTTATTTGAAAATAAATGATTTTTATCTCTAAACCTGGCTTTTTAAATGGTTGTGTGGGTTTCTTCTTTTCTTGGAGCACTCAGCATGTCACAAACCCACATTAGCAGCTGTTGCATTTTGTGGTATTGTCCAGGCTGGCCTCCCCTCAAAGCCACATTGGCTTTTCCTTGCACATCCTCTCTCTCCCATATAGTATTTGTACTGGTCTGTCATCACACTGTGATTATGACAGCCACTAGGGGGCACTTCTTCGGCGATCACTCATATCCGAGTAAGATTATCTTCCACGAACACGGTTTTAACGGTGAGTCCGTAAGTGACTGTGGAGGCCAATTCTGGATCCACACGTCCTTCCACAGTGAGGACATTGGTTTCCGGGTGGGAGTTGATCACAGTGAGGGTTTGCCAAGCGTGCCTTCCTCTTACCACGTTTCTCCCTTGCGTCCTGAGTTCAAGCGTCTTCAAAGCCCATGACACCTTTCGTAAAGGCTGTTCTCTGACTGGAGCGCTCACAGGCAAGTGTTTCCCAATTGTTGGTGTTTATACTACATTTTTAAAGATTTGCCTTGAGAGTCTTTAAACCTCTTTTGTTGACCACCAGCATTACGCTTTCCATTTTTAAGTTGGGAATAGAGTAGTTGCTTTGGAAGGCGGTCATCACGCACCCGCACAACATGACCAGTCCAACGAAGTTGGTGTCGAGGAATCATTGCTTCAACACTGGTGATCTTTGCTTCTTCCAGTACACGGGCATTAGTTCGCCTGTCTTCTCAAGCGATGCGTACAATTTTTCGGAGACACCGTTGATAAATCTTTTGAGGAGTTGGAGATGGTGTTTATAGGTGGTCCATGTTTCACAAGCAGACAGTAATTCACACCAGGCACGTGAATGGAGACAAACATGGCCCTTTCAGGTATCCATTTGGGTCATTTCAGGAGGAGGAATATAGGAGAATTAGGGAGCAACATGTAGGGATGCGGGTGGCGCTGTGGGTTAAACCACAGAGCCTAGGACTTGCCACTCAGAAGGTCAGCGGTTCGAATCCCCACGACGGGGTGAGCTCCCGTTGCTCGATCCCAGCTCATGCCAACCTAGCAGTTCAAAAGCACATCAAAGTGCAAGTAGATAAATAGGTACCACTCCGGCGGGAAGGTAAACGGCGTTTCCGTGCGCTGCTCTGGTTCGCCAGAAGTGGCTTAGTCCTGCTGGCCACATGACCCAGAAGCTGTACGCCGGCTCCCTTGGCCAATAAAGCAAGATGAGCGCCGCAACCCCAGAGTTGGCCACGACTGGACCTAATGGTCAGGGCTCCTTTTACCTTACCTTTAGGGAGCAACATGACCTGCTTGGGGTAGGGGTGTCCTCCCTTTCTTTCTCTCTGCCCCCATGGGAGGCTTCCCCCACCCCACAGGCAAGAGAGCAAGCGAAGGGAAATTTTTGTGAGAAGCTGTGGGTGAAAGAGAGGCTGGAGGAGCAGATATTTCTGACACTTGTAGGTTCAGAAGCTGCGAAAGAAATATCCCATTATGGCATTGGGGAAGGGAAGTGAAGTGTGGGGAGGGGAGATGTGGTCATGGAGAGGGAAAGGGAGAAAGGAAATTTGGTCTTGAGCATGGGTAGGCAAACTAAGGCCCAGGGGCCAGATCCGGCCCAATCGCCTTCTAAATCTGGCCCACGGACGGTCCAGGAATCAGCATGTTTTTACACGAGTAGAATGTGTCCTTTTGTTTAAAAAGCATCTCCAGGTTATTTGTGGCGCATAGGAATTCATTCTCTCCCCCTTTCTCCCCCAAAATATATTCCGGCCCCCCACAAGGTCTGAGGGACAGTGGACCGGCCCCCTGAGGATAAAGTTTGGTGACCCCTGGTCTTGAGAGTAAACTGAGGCAGGGAGAGAGGGGTTGCTGCTGTAATTCCGCAGAAGGAAGCTCAGGGAAGGAAACTGAAGCAGAGTCATCCCTAGTAGAGATATAAAAGGGGTAGTAGTATCCTGCAATGCTTGGATTAGCAATTTCCAGTTAAAGAGTTGAGGGGGTGAGAGACACAAATTTTAAACATCACTGGATGAGAAGTGAGTTTCCTTTGAAATGAGTAAGGCTGACAAACTCTGCTCCTATTTCCTTTTTGACAGTCTCAGTCTGAATAAGGATGTCTCATATCGTACATCTACTAGACAGCCCCTTTTGAGACATATCAGAATTATCTCTGTTCGAAAGCTTTATTTTGGGGCAGTGTAGAGGTGGAAGAAAGGCCAGACCCCTCTTCCTTCTGAGCTACTTGCTCCTATGAAAATGCATCTGTACTTTACCAATTACAGCGGTACCTTGGTTCTCAAGCTTAATCCGTTCCGGAAGTCCGTTCCAAAACCAAAGCATTTCAAAACCAAGGTGCGCTTTCCCATAGAAAGTAATGCAACATGGACTAATCTGTTCCAGACTTCTAAAAACAACCCCTAAAACAGCAATTTAACATGAATTTTACTAACGAGAGACCGGTGATCCATAAAATGAAAGCAATCATCAATATACTGTAGTATAAAAAAAGACAGTATTGTAGATGATAAAAATTTAAGTTTTTGCTTCTTCTTACCTGCACTGATGATAGTCATTGTTTGGATGAGGGGCTTTTATCCATTTCTGCAGTCACACAATCAGTCAGTAGCTGAACTGGGTTCCACACAGTCACAAAAATGGCCTAAATGGCCTCAGCTCAGTATACCTGAAGGAGCATCTCCACCCTCATCATTCAGCCTGGACACTGAGGTCCAGCTCCGAGGGCTTTCTGGCGGTTCCCTCCCTGTGAGAAGTGAGATTACAGGGAACCAGGCAGAGGGCCTTCTCGGTGGTGGCACCCGCCCTGTGGAACGCCCTCCCATCAGATGTCAAGGAAATAAACAACTACCTGACTTTTAGAAGACATCTGAAGGCAACCCTGTATTGGGAAATTTTTAATGTCTAATGTTTTACTTTCTTTTATGAGCTGTATGCTACCCAGAGTGGCTGGAGAAACCCAGCCAGATGGGTGGGCTATAAGTAATAAAATTATTATTATTATTATTATTACAAGATGTGGATGTTGCCTCTCTCATGTACAGTGGTACCTCTAGTTACGGACTCGATCCGTTCCAGGGTGCCGTTTGCACCCCGAAAAGTCCGTAACTAGAGCGCTGCTTCTGCGCATGCGCAATAGAGCGTTTCTGCACATGTGGCAAAAAAGACGCAACATGAACCTAACGCAACACGAGGTATTACTGTACAGTATACAGTGGCACCTCAGGTTAAGTACTTAATTCGTTCCGGAGGTCCGTTCTTAACCTGAAACTGTTCTTAACCTGAAGCACCACTTTAGCTAATGGGGCCTCCTGCTGCCGCCGTGCCGCCAGAGCACGATTTCTGTTCTCATCCTGAAGCAAAGTTCTTAACCTGAAGCACTATTTCTGGGTTAGTGGAGTCTGTAACCTGAAGCGCATGTAACCCGAGGTACCACTGTACACAAAACCCAGCCTGCAACAAAGCAATAATACTGGACCACACTGCAGGGTAGTTGTAGACTATATTCTTGCTCCCAGCATCGGTTCCCCGACGTGCAATATTAACCTCGGCCTACACTGCAGGGCTGGTGTAACGCGCTAGGCCCCGCCCACCTCCACCTGGCCAGGTGGGCACCCTGCTCTGAAATCTGCATAAACTCCTCTCTCGCCCCACCCCCTCGTTCCTGATTGGCTGCTGCTCTACGAGCCCGCGGTTCCCAGAATGACCGCCAGGGGCCGCTGTGTGGCTCATGATGAGCGGCGGCGGGGTGGAAACCGCGCGTCTCCAAGGTTTCCACGGAACGCCAGCGGATGTGACGAAAGCGCCGGGGTGACGTCAGGCGCATCCCCATAGAAACGCGCCGGAAGCTCGGCGGGACATAAAAAAACCGAAATGCCCGGGGTTAGCGGTAGAAAGAGGAGAACCGAGCGAGCGCCGGAGCTGCGAAGCGGCTCAGGGTCCCGCAAAAGCGGAGAGGGAAGAGTTAAAAGGGCGCATGCGCAGCCGGAAGTGAAGCCGCCGGAAGCCCGGCCGAGGGCTAACGGTTGCCAAGGGCAACGAAGAAGGGTATGACGCTTGTTTACGGGGTTATTTATTGCGCTTCTGTCGCGCTTTTCACCCGCACAGGGAGCTGGAGGGGGCCGGGACGGTTCTTCTGACCCTGCTCACCCCACAACAACCCCGCGAGGTGGGCTGGGCCGAGGGGAAGTTGGCATGGAGGGCGGTAGAGTTGGAAGGGACCCTCAAAGGTCATCTAGCCCAACCCCCTGCGATGCAGGAAGCGGCCGAGGAAGGAGAGCCCACCGCCTCCCGAGGGAGCCCGTTCCTCTGTTTAATGGCTCTTGACTTTTAGGAAGGCGGAGAAAACGAAGGTCCTCCTCCACACGGCGGCGCACGGTTAACCTGCGGAACTCTCTCCCTCAGGAGGCAGCGATGGGTCAGATTACATCAAATAAACAAGGAATATTCGGTGTTACGTTGGAGGGGGGTGCCAGGAAATCTGAAATTACGTTCACATGTGGTGGCGGGGGGTGTAAATGCGTACAATTTTTCTGGCAAAAGGTGTTTAAGGAGAGAACACACCAATTTTCACACCAACTTGGCCCGGGCTTACTGCTGTTTGTAGATCTCTCTGAATCAAGGCTGTTGGTCGTTGTTCTGCTTCCAGACCCTAAATCTCCCTTCCTAGAGCATTTAGACTGGCTCCCTCCTTGTTGTCTCTCTGCCATTGGCCTTTTTATTCCATCAGGCCTTTGGAAACTGACTTTTTAAGGCAAGGGCAAGTGCTGCGATGGTTTTCTTGTTGTTACAATCAGTATTTTTAATCGATTTCTTTATATTGTTTTCATTCCATTAGTGTTTAATTAATTGTTAATGGCTAACTTTTCTATGTTTTTTTGCTTTTTCTGTTTTGCCTGCTCTTTTGTATTTTTATCTGTAAGCCGTCTTGAGTCTCAATCTGAGAAAAAGGCAGGGTATAAATACGAATAATAATAATAGGAATCACTGGATTAAAGCTGACTGAAAGTCCAGAGGTAGCGTTATTATCAATTTACGATGGGGTGGAAGGTTTGCAAGCTAGGAAGGACTTGCTCACAAATTTATTGACAGCTGCACGAATTGTGATAGCTAGGTTAATCTGCACAACTCGCTCCCTCAGGAGGCAGCGATGGGCACCAACCCCGGAGGCTTGAGAATGAGGTCGGGCAAATCGATGGCTTCCAATGTCTACTAGCCAGTTTGCCTCTGCTCAGTCTCCACAGTCCGGGGCAGCTTCCTGACACCAGTTGCTGGAAAGCTCAGGAGGGAGAGAGGGGCTTGGGCTTCAGGTCGTCTTCTTGGTTTCTCACAGGCATCTGGTTGGCCCCTGTGAGAAGAGGATGCTGGGCTAGAGGGCCTCAGGCCTGATCCAGCTTCAGGGCTCTTCTTCTTATGTTCCTACGTCACCCAGGGAGCTTCATGGGCGAAGTGGAGATTTGAACCCTGGTTTCGCAGGTCTTATTAATCTGACACTGAACCCTACTACACAGTGGTGGTGGTGGTGGTGGGAGCTGCCTTCATTGGAGGGAGGGGCACACAAAATGGAGGTGTGGTGAGCAATGGAGTGGGAAGCAGCTGGGCAAATTAAGCCGTTGGGGTAAGAGAAGCCAAGTGGATGGAGCCTTATTCTGTGGAAGGCGTGGGGTCGGAAGGGGAGATGGGGCTGCTGCTTGAGTGCAGAGGAGGCTAGGAAGCTGTGGGTGTAAGAAGCTAGGCCAGGAATAGTCTTTCTGAGTCCTGGTTGTGGCATTTTTTCATTTACAGTGGTACCTCCGGTTACATATGCTTCAGGTTACAGACTCCGCTAACCCAGAAATAGTACTTCGGGTTAAGAACTTTGCTTCAGGATGAGAACAGAAATCATGCTCTGGCGGCGCGGCGGCAGCGGGAGGCCCCATTAGCTAAAGTGGTGCTTCAGGTTAAGAACAGCATCAGGTTATGAACAGACCTCCAGAACGAATTAAGTACTTAACCCGAGGTACCACTGTATTGCATTTCTATCTCAGCTTTTCCTCCAAGGAGCTCAAGCTGGAGTACATCGCTCTCCCCACCCCTTCCTAATTTAATCCCCACAACAACCTTGTGAGGTGGATTTGGCTGAGAGGCAGCGAGTGGTGTCCAAGGTCAACCCCTAAGATTCATGGCCGAGTGGGGATTTGAACCCTGGTCCGGCGCTCCATCCGCTACACCACACTGTCTCTTGCAGTTGCCAACCTCCCGCTGTCGCTCACTTCTTACTTACCTACCATCCTTCTGCTTTTTCTCCCCTCAGGCGATGGCGGCCATGGAGGAGGATGAGGCAGAAGCGATAGGAGGGGCGGCCCCTGATCCCTGCGTCGCGTTGCGGCTCGTGGCCGCTGCGGCCTGGCACGTGGTGCAGAAGCAGCAGGTCCACGACTTCCCCCGCGTCCTGGCACTGCTGGCAGCCGTGAAGGAGGCGGCGCCTGACTTGGTGCACTTCCGGCACCATGCCAAGCTGCGGTTAGGCCTGCAGGCAAAGGTGGGTCTCAGGCCAACGTTTTTCGTGTGTGCAGATGTCATGCCGTGGCATTGGTGGGGTGAGGGAGTTAAAAACGAAATAACCAGAGTGTTTTTTCCTTTATCTACCACTTGACTTGGGGTGAGACGCTTCAAAGCAGTTCACAAAAAGAATAAAACAATAAAAGGATCAGTAAAAAACCCAGCTTAAAGCACATGTCAACATTATAAATATCTGGGTAGGCTGGCCTAAACAAAGAAGAGTCAAGTGAAGGCGCCAGCCTAAGGTCCATATGTCTCAGTAGCCTGGTCAGTCTTTGCTGGTTTTCACTTATTACTGCCAAATGGTTCTTTGATCCTTTCCTCCCACCCCTGTCCCACAAGTTGTCCCAGGTCACCATAGAGGAGGTCAGCTCCCTTGACTTTCCTTTTTTCCCTCTTGCATCAGGTGATCATGAACATGCTTCAGGAGCAGCAGCCAAATGGGAAGATATACGACGCTCTAGATACGTTCTTTCCAGAGGGGGAGACTCAGCCCCACACCAAAGCTGTGAGTGTCTGCATATATGTTCAGCAGAGACAGACTCCCTTCCCTGCCATGCTCCTTCTAGGCTGCCCACTTTTCGTTAAGGAGCAGCCATCCCTGCAGTTGGTCCCTTACCTTTCTCGCCCCGACCTGGCCCCAGTGATCCATGCGACGTTCGCCTCCAGGCTTGACTACTGTAATTCGCTCTACGTGGGGCTGCCCTTGAAGCTGTCCCAGAAACTCCAGCGGGTGCAGAATGCTGCAGCGAGGCTCCTCATGGGGTCCCTGCCATGGGAGCATATTCACCCAGTGCTTTACCAGTTGCACTGGCTCCCGGTGAAGTACAGGGTCAGATTTAAAGTGCTGGTTTTGACCTTTAAAGCCCTTCACGGCCTAGGACCCTCGTACCTACGGGACCACCTCTCCCGGTATGCCCCACGGAGGACCTTAAGGTCCATAGCAACACCTTAGAGGTCCCGGGCCCTAAGGAAGTCAGATTAGCCTCAACCAGAGCCAGGGCCTTTTCAGCACCGACTCTGGCCTGGTGGAACGCTCTGTCTCATGAGACAGAGATCTGATTTCTTTCCGCAGGGCCTGTAAGACAGAGTTGTTCCGCCTGGCCTTTGGATTGGAATCAACTTGATCCCCTTCCCCTCTTTCCTCTTTCCTTTTTTCTTCTGTGATGGAACTCCTATTTGGGGCCTTCCCTGGCTTTTTCTGGCCCATGTAGGACCAGTCTAAATAGTTGGCCGTGGTGAAGATTTGACGTTTTCATTCCCAAAAAGTTTTTGATTTGAGTTTCTATTGAAATGAGGCTGCATTTTAATGTTGTATTTTAATCTTGTTTTTAAGTTGTATCTTAATCAATTGTTTTATATCTGGGGTTAGCCTCCATGAGGTCTTTGCTGGGGAGGGCGGGGTATAAATAAAATTTATTATTATTATTTATTATTATTACTGTGGCCATCTCTTCCTTTCACCCCCAGACGCCTCAGGACGTAGAGATGGTGCGGGTGGCTCAGGAGAACTTCCGGGATCTGGTGTTTGGGTTGCTGAGTGACCGCAGGGAGAGGGAGAAGTATGTGCAGGTGAGGCTGGGGGACGAAGTTGAGAGGAAAGTCGGGCTGGCATGCACTTGAACAATGCAAGTTTGGTTGTGGGTTTGCTATCTGTGTTGGGCAGAAGTCGGGACTGAAGGGACAAGCTCAATAGTTCCTCCATCCTCAGACACTATGATCCAGGAAGGATCATTCTCTGTGGCAGCTCCTAAATAAGACAGCTTCTGGCAAATGCTGAAAACGCCATACCTATTCACCCTGGGTTTTTTTTGACATTTGAGGGTCTATTTCCAAGACCCATCTTGTTTTTGTGATTGCAATCTGATTAAGCTGTTAATATGGTGTTCTGGTTGCTGTAACATGCCCTGGGACCTTGGGGTGAAGGGAGGGTTAACAAAGACGATGGTGATGATAGAGGGGGACATGCTTTGCATACAGAACATCTTACATTTGATCGGGGCATCTTCAGTTAAGTTGAGAGATCATGGAAAATATTTTTTCCACCCAAGAGCCGCTTCAGGGATAAGCCCATCAGATCTTTGTGGTCTCCCAACTCTCATCAGCCCCAGCTACATGGTCAAATATCAGGGATACTGATCCTAGTGCCATGACTTCTGCAGGCCCCCACGGGCCCCCCACCCGGTAACAGAAAATGCTGGGGCAGGTGGATGCAAACGGACAGTCTCATAGAAGATCAGATCCCTATTCTGAAGATGGGTGTTGGAATAGATCCTCGGTTGGGAGGCAATTGCAAACATCCTTGGATTTTTTCCCTTTTAGGAGCACCTGGAAAAGGATTACGGAGAAGCCTTTATGCAGGTGGTCGAAGAGCTCTTTCACGATTACCTGTGGCAACTGGAGAAAACCCTTCCTGAGCCCCATTTGCAGCAGGTACCAGGCAGCAGTAACAGTAGTAGCAGTGGGGCATGGGCTAGAACCAAGCGGTGGAGAGGGCCCTCCTTGGCTCCGTGGTAGGGCACAGGCTTTATGGGCAGGCCTTAGCCCTCACTTTTGCCTCCCCCCTCCCCAGCTGCTGGACGCCGCCTGCCTCCAAGGGCCGAGTGGGACTCCCCAGCCGGACTCCAGCATCCTCTCGTGCTACCTCTCCGCCATGGGGTACCAGACCGCAGGTAGGTAACAAAGGCATTTGGCTTGCTTGGCCTTCCTTCCCTGTGTGTCCTTTGTCTGCAACCTCTTACCCTTCTTCCAGGATTACCTATGCACCCACCTTCTCCCCGCCTGTCAAGCACCCTAGTTCACAGTGAGGAGGAGGGGGAACATAGGACACTTGAGCCCTCCCAGGCGCACACATACAGGAGTAGTTCGCCCTGCGCCCAGGAACAGTAAGTGTCTCCCTGTCCTCCTCCTCATTTCCCCGATCCCCCTACCCCTAAACAGCTTGTTCTATCTTCTTCTTTTCTCTCCCTCCTTTAGGGATTCCCCCAGACATCGACTGGGCAACCAGGGAATGGGTAGGTAATCCTGCTTCTATGAATCTCTCCCCACTATGTGGGCAAGTACAATTCTGGGAATTGAATGTATTTTTTATCCCAAATAGTTTACTCCAGCCTCCCTGCCTTGGTAACCTTACATTGGGCTACAGGTCCCACCAGCCCCAGCCAGGGATTGTCATAATACAAAAGCAGCGGGAGGGCAGCAGCTGAAGAAAAACCACATGAAGACTCACTGGGGGGTGGTTCCAGCGTTTGGATTTTTTGCAGAACAAATGTCTGGGTTTTACAGTAGAAAGCAGGGTTGGCCAACCAGGTTTTGAGGGCTGGCTGTTTTCCCTCCTCCGTGAGATGCCTGTCCCCTGCTCCCCAAATCACCCCGCTTTTTCCAGTTCTGTGTTTCAGCCTCCCGTTTCCAGGAACATCTCTCCAGGAAGGGAGTGTATCAGGAGCAGACAGGGTGGAGGGGCTGTGGCGTGGCGTAGGTTTGGAATGACCAGGGTTAGAGGAGCTCAGCAGGGACCTCACTTTCCCCACTACCACCCTCCCCCCCTTGCTAACTGCAGGGCCCTGACCTGACGGGCCTGCCCCCAATTTCCACATCCCTCCCCTTTCCAAAGGAGGGTAGAAAAATCCCGAGATGCCACCACATTCTCCTTGCATGGACCTGGGGAGAAGACGCAGCCCTGGCTATGCAGGGGAGCAGCGTAGGATGTGCCAAGTACCCACAACCCCTTCCGTTCTCTTTCTAGAAGAAGTCGAGGATATTGTCCTGGATTCAAGCAGTGACGGATGCAGTTCCCCTTTCGTCAAGGTGAGGAACGAGATACTCAGCATGCCATGGGGGGGCGCGGTTTGAGAGTGCAGGAGGTCAGGCCGGGGCCTTGGCTGGTGAGTGTTGAAGGAACAGCTGTGGGGCTTCTCTGAAGCCTTTGGCTCAGCTCCGTAATTCCCCCATCCCCGCCTGAAGCAGCCAGCTGGGGCTGATGGGAGTTGTAGTCCAAAACCGAGGGCCCTCAGTTGCGAAAGGCTGCCGTGCTGTGACTGTAAGCAAGCTCAAGCATGTGCAACTGAAACAGCATCTTGCTTCGCTGTTCCTTGTCAGATTTTAGATTGCAAGCTCCTCAGGGCAGGGACCTAGCGCTCTGCAAAATACCGTGTGCACTGATATTTAAATAAGGCTGGTGGAGATGGGTTGAGGGTGTCCCTTCTTGAGCTTGAAGAGGAGGTGTGCCGGTATGATTTGAAGGGACTCAGCCGCCAAGGCCTCTTCTCCCTTTCTCCTCCAACAGGGAGACTACCAATGCACCAGGCACAACACCCTCATCCCCACGTTGCAGCAGTACCTTAGCAACACCCAGAAATCAGTGAGTGGCTGCCCACCCCCTCCCTTGCCTAGGAAGGTGTTCTTTGCCACACCTTAACCTCTTTCCTCCTTCCCTTCCTCCAGGTGCGCTAGATCTTCAGGCTCAACGACATCCCATCTAACATGACATCCGCCCCGTTGGTCTCCTCTTCCAAACATGCCCGCACAAAGACATTTTCTGAGCTTTATTTTTGGTTTCGGCAAACAGTGCAAACGTTTCTGGCACTGTTCCACTGTTGTCTTTCCCAACCCGTCTTTGGCCTGGCCCACGGAAAACGCCTCCCCTGCTCCCTTTCGAGCTTGGTCTCGGGAAGGAAAGACGCAAATTGTGCTGCGCAGAAGCGGGACTGGCGTACAAATACTGGAATAAAATAATTACACAGACGCACGTCTCCTTTCTACTCACAAGAGGAGGGCAGTCTGCCTATACTGGACTGAGCAAGGGATGCAGTGGAGTAAGGAGTGCCAGCCTGGCGTTGGGCACGGGGTGGATTTGGTCAGCGCCAGGCCTGGTGCTTGTAAACCCGCCAGCGCTCCAGCTTGCCAGCCTGTGCAAATAGTCCCACTGGAGTGGCCCGGGAGCGGTCGCTGTCTCGTTGGGCGGAGGTCAGGGTTGGCTGGCCTCGCCGAAGATGGGGTTGGCTTGCTGGGTGACCCGGATGAAGGTGGTCCTGCGGCTGAGCTCCTTCAGCTTGGCAGCCCCCACGTACGTGCAGGTGGAGCGGATGCCGCCCATGATGTCCCGCAAGGTGTGCTCCACGTCGCCTTTGAATGGCACTTGCACCACCTTGCCCTCAGATGCCCTGCAGGGGGAAGAGAGAGATATTAGCAGCTGGGCAGGGACTGTCCAGCTCCCCCTCCTCGTACATTTAGCAGGTAGAAGAATAGGAGGAGTTTGGATTTGATATCCTGCTTTATCACTACCCTAAGGAGTCTCAAAGCAGCTAACAATCTCCTTTTCCCTTCCTCCCCCACAACAAACACTCTGTGAGGTGAGTGGAGCTGAGAGACTTCAGAGCAGTATGACTAGCCCAAGGTCACCCAGCAGCTGCATGTGGAGGAGCAGGGACGTGAACCCGGTTCACCAGATTACGAGTCCACCGCTCTGAACCACTACACCACACTGGCTCTATTACTGGAGCTGCAGAGAAGCTCTAGGCCCCAGCTTCATCCAGCCATTTGGGGGGAACCATCCCCTCCCTCTCTTCCCAGGCTTGACATCAGGCTCAGGAAAAATTCAAGCTGAGATTTGAGCGTGCTCACAAATCCTCCATTGCTTGAACCTTCAACACCATAATCCTTACTAGAAATATAGGAGAGTCTGTGTGGCTAGAGAGGCAAAGAGGCATCTTGCCCCATCATTCCACTTCCTGCATTTGATTCTGTGAGGAGCAACTCCCTTCATCTCTTGCTACTGGCCATGCTTGCTGTGACTGATGGGAGCTGCCAGAGTTTTCCCACTCATGCATCACAGCAAGGATGCTGCTGGGTTAAAAATGCCACGACAACTTGAGCCACGATGACAAGACTTCTTGCCTTCCCTGCTTTTCCACCTGTTGACTGCCTCCCTAAATCTTGTGAGGTTTCGTCCCAGCCTGGCTGACCTTTCCCTTTCCCTCACAAAAGCTGTCCTGTGCTCTTGCCTGACCCTTAGCGGTCAGATTTCCACCCAGGAGACTACAATTGCGCTTTTGTTCCCTCTACAGTCGTACCTTGGTTCTCGAACAGAATGCATTCCGGGAGTCCGACTCCTGGAACCGTTCGAAAACCACGGCGCAGCTTCCAGTTGGCTGCAGGAGTGTCCTGCAGCCAGTTGGAAGCCACGCCGGATGTTTGGCTTCCAAAAATAGTTTGAAAACCGGAACACTCACTTCCGGGTTTCGATTGTTTGGGAGCCAAGGCGTTTGAGATCCAAGGTATGACTGTACTTGAGATGCTCAGGCATGAGGGTTGATACTTATGTAGCCCAAACAGCATCACCTGCATGCAAGGAAGAAATATTGGCAGACTCTGCCTGGCAGAAATATGAAAAATCTGGAGCGGGGAAACGTTCCACAGCTCACCACCATTTTGTGGGCCACAGCTACCAACGAGGACTGAATGTGCTCGGCGGCTGCGGAACATTGGCTGATTTTTATTTCAGGAAATTTATATACCCTGTGATCGTAAACAAAAAAGGTGGTTTACAAAACGAATAAAATCATTCGTAAAAACGGCTATTCAAAACATTCTAAAGCTAACTAAAATCAACAATAAAAACATATTAAAACTCATGTCAATGGTCTGCATACACTGCGAGGCTTGCCTAAACAAAAATGTGTTCAGCAGCTGCCAAAAAGAGTACAGTGGAGGCAGCTGCCTGTTGTTCAAGAGGCAGGGAGTTCCAAAGATCCATTTCCTACCTACGCAGGTGTTAACGTGGTACCTGTAGCAGTGCTGATTCTGCTGAAGAAGTGGTTGAGTGGGCGTAATGCTTTTTTGTGTTTTAATATTCTGTTGGCGGACACGGGTGGCGCTGTGGGTTAAACCACAGAGCCTAGGACTTGCCAATCTGAAGTTTGGTGGTTCGAATCCCCGTGAAGGGGTGAGCTCTCGTTGCTCGGTCCCTGCTCCTGCCAACCTAGCAGGTCGAAAGCACGTCAAAGCGCAAGTAGATAAATAGGTACCACTCCGGCGGGAAGGTAAACGGCGTTTCCGTGCGCTGCTCTGGTTCGCCAGAAGCGGCTTAGTCATGCTGGCCACATGACCTGGAAGCTGTACGCCGGCTCCCTTGGCCAGTAAAGCGAGATGAGCGCTGCAACCCCAGTCGGCCACGACTGGACCTAACGGTCTGGGGTCCCTTTACCTTTATTCTGTTGGCAGCCGCCAAGAGTGGCTAGGGCAACCCAGTCAGATGGCTGGCATCTAAGGAATTAGTTATTATCTTATTGCCCTAGAATCAGAGTGCTTTACTCTGCAATATTTTACACAGAGTAGTGAATGTGAACTGGGGGAACTGGGAATGTGAACTGGGAAGGGGGAAAGGAGCGAGCACAAACTCTTCTTTCTGCCACCGTACCTGTATTCTGCCACACCCCCGGCGTACTTCTTCATGGCTACCTCTGAGCTCATGCCGTAAAAGAGCTTGTACTGCTTGCCTTCCTTCTCAATGAGCTCCCCGCCGGACTCGGTGTGCCCTGCCAGCATCCCCCCCAGCATGACGAAGTCCGCTCCGGCACCTGCACCCACAACAGAATTGGGAGGCGTGTGAGGCAGGCGGCTTTAGCTGCGGGACCCTGAGAACCTTTCCGGGTTCTGCCGCCACCCCAACAATTGGACCCAGGGAAGTTAGAAGGACGGGATTTTTAATTTTTACCAAAAGCCTTTGCAACGTCTCCTGGGCAGCTGCAGCCTCCGTCCTGCAGGAGAGAGGGCAGAAGGACAATCTCTGCATTCCTCGTTCAGTCTCCCTACGGCTGCCATCCTAAGCGCCTGCCTTCTCTTAGCAAAAGGCTTGGGCGAGCCTCTAGTCCTCACGCCTGGAAAGCCTATGCTTAGAGGTCGGAACCAGCGGCGCAGCTGTCCTAGAGTTCTTAAACCGGATCAAACCCTCTGCAGCGGTCAGGGCTGCCCTCCCAAGACCCCCTGTAAAACGGCGGCCAATTGAGGGGGCAGGGAAATGGAACGCTCGCCGTACGGACAGGAAAATGTGGGGTTTGCCTGGATGCTTTCTCGTGCCACTGGGAAGAGAAAAAGTTTGATCCCAGGACAGATTTTTGAAACAGGCCCCACAGGTGCTGCTAAGACTCCAGCTCCTTCAGCCCCCGCCAATACAGCCACAGGCAGGAATGATGGGAATTGTAGTTCAAGAACAATGGGTAGGCAGAGCTCCAAAGGGGCTCCGGCATAGTTAAGGCTCCTGTCATCCATTTGCCCACTGGACCTGGCAAGGGAGGAGACGGACGTCTCACCGAGATGATGTGTCCATTGAGGCCATGGGCGGCGTCAGCACATTCCATGACAGCGCTGAGCTGGGGGTAGCCGACCCCCGTCTTCTTCCGCGTGGTACAAACCGAGCCTGGGAGGAGACAAGGCAAGTGGTTTATATATATAATTTTTATTAACTTTTCTGTTTTGCAGTTTAAAATACTCATTTTACATCCTTAAGATACCAACGACTTCCCTTCTCTTTCCATGGTTCATTTTACAGATCATAAATCGCTACATATTTTACAAAAACTATACCAATCAGTATTCCATTGTTGCATCCATCAAAACTTATTTACACTGTTGAATTTATCTTAATGCTGCCAGCGTTTTCAGCTGTGCACAATTATTTCCCATATATTCAATAAACGTTTTCCAATCTTCTCTAAACGTATGTTCTTCTTGTTCTCTTATTCTATATGTTAAATCTGCAAGCTGCACATATTGTGTCAGCTTAAGTTGCCATCCTTCTTTAGTTGGGACCTCGCTCATTTTCCATTTTTGGGCTAATGAAACATGGGCTGCAGTTGTAGCATACATAAATAACCTTTTTTGACACCTGGGAATTTCAGTCTGAATTATCCCCAACAGAAAGGACTCTGGGTTTTTTTGGGGGGGGAGGGGGAGTAAACTTTGGGTGCTTTTCCCCCAATTCATTATGGATCACTTCACAATACATTTTTACCCTTTGCAAGTGGTTTAACCTAGCCAGCCTGCCGTTTCAGAGGGACGGAGAGGGTTGGGGCAGGACAGGACTTGAAAGACCTCCTGTCGTCCCTCAACTGAGATTCGACGTGTGCCCCCACTCCCAGGACAGACGGCCCACCCAGGCTCTGTTTTAAAAAGAGCACCATTTAAAAGGAATGGTTGAGGCGGTTGGGTGTGTTTAGTCTGGAAAAGAGGAGACTGGGGAGAGATATATTTGATCAAGGGCTGTCACACGGAAGATGGGGCAAGCTTGTTTTCTCCCACTCTGGAGGGTAGAACCCAAACCAATGGCACAGAAGGGGGCAATCCTGATAAAGATCTGGCTAGTGGGGTCAGAAAGATTCTCCACGCCTGCCCTAAAGGACCTCTTCTGCCTAACAACCTATCCAACCTTAAGAGCATAATCATTGAATGAATAAATAAGGGTCCCTTCAGTTTAACACAAGACTCCTGCCATAACCCCAAGATGGATCTGGCCCCAAAGTTCACCCATCCTTCTGCACTTACCTGGGCCAATCCCCACTTTGATTATATCAGCTCCCGATAAGATGAGCTCTTCCACCATCTCCCCTGTCACCACATTCCCAGCCTGGTGAAGAGGAAAAAAAAGTCTGACTTGTAGGACCAAAGAGCCTGGCTTGGCTGAAACATGCAATGGTAGGATATATGGGTGAAATTCTGAAGGCTCCAAGACAAAAGGCTACAGCATGGTGTGGAAATAATGTGAGGGATATGAAAAGAATAGAGGGACGTGGTGAGAAAACATAGACAGCCTCGCCATATACAGTGGTACCTCGGGTTACATACGCTTCAGGTTACAGACTCCGCTAACCAGAAATAGTACCTCGGGTTAAGAACTTTGCTTCAGGATGAGAACAGAAATCGTGCAGCAGGAGGCCCCATTAGCTAAAGTGGTGCTTCAGGTTAAGAACAGTTTCAGGTTAAGAATGGACCTCCAGAACGAATTAAATACGTAACCAGAGGTACCACTGTAGTCCTATAGAGTGGTACCTCGGGTTACAGACGCTTCAGGTTACAGATGCTTCAGGTTACAGACTCCGCTAACCCAGAAATAGTACCTCAGGTTAAGAACTTTGCTTCTGGATGAGAGCAGAAATCATGCTCCGGTGGCGTGGCGGCTGTGGGAGGCCCCATTAGCTAAAGTGGTACCTCAGGTTAAGAACAGTTTCAGGTTAAGAACGGACCTCCAGAACGAATTAAATTCTTAACCCGAGGTACCACCGTACGTTCTGGTAACCTCCTGTCTTGACTACTGCAATACATTCCACTTAGGGCTACCCTTGAAGACTGTCCAGACATGGCAGAAATATCGGGAGTAAAATAAATAAGGAAGAGCCTTGCAGGATTGGGCTGAAGGCCCATCAAGTCCTTACAGTGGCGAAGTGGATGCTGCAAAGGGAAGCCCAAGAAAGATGAAACGTACAATGATGGTGTGATCCGGAAACCGCTTGCGCACGTCCTTCAGGAACTGGACAAAGTGCTCTGAGTATCCATTAGCCACGTCTAGGCAGATGTAGCGCACCTGCGGCACCGTCTCCAGGATCTGTTCCAGCTGCTCAAAGTCAGAGGGGCCGGTGCCTGAACTGGCTGCCACGTTCTGGGGAGAAGCACCAGGACAGATTGTAAAGAACTAGGCAGGGAGGAGACGGGATTGCCCTATTCCCCAGGGCAATTTGAGACGTGAGGGCAACTCAGCGGATGACCCAGGAGAGCAGCTAATGTCAGGTGGCCTGAAGCCCAAGCGAGGGTGACAACATTCACTCACCAGCAGGCATTCTGGGTTCTCCGCTGCAAACGCTTTCCACTGGTCCAGACTGTAGTGTTTGTGGATAGTGGTGAAGAGAGAGAACTGGGAAGAGAGATGGTGGGGAAACAGACACTGAGAAAAGTGAGGAAACAGCCCTAGAGCAGGCATCCTTCTACTCTGGGTGTTACTGAGACTACAACTCCCATCATCCAGTCAGCTTGGGCCGATGGTCAGGGATGGTGGGAGTTGGAGTCCAGCATCTTCTGGGGGGGCACCCAAGGCTGAAAAACATTGCCCTGCAGGTACCACCAAATGGGGATCAGGTATTACATTTCCCGTCTTCCCTCTATCCACCTTTACTGCTGATCAGGCGAACTCCGATAAGGAACCGGGTGAACCTGTGATTTCCCTGTGAACCACCCTGAGATATTCCAAGGAAAGGCGCTATACAAATTAAATAAATAAATAACCGGTGATCCCAAAGCTGAACACCTTGCCAGTGCTAGCAGGGAGCAGCGCCTCTGCCAAAGCAGCACCCAGGTGACCAGGCCGCCTCGACAGCCACCGTACCTTGCAAAGGACCTTGGCCATCTCAAAAGTGCCCACCGTGTCCATGTTGGCAGCAATGATGGGGATCCCTGTGTACGTCTGCTTGGAGTTACGGAATATGAAGGACCTCATGAGATCCACCTGGGAAGGAGGGAAACCAAGATAAAGGGTATAAGGCTGCAAGAGCGATATGGCCTGGGAGTCACTGCTCCTAACTTCTGAGGTGTCCCATGAAGATAGAAACTAGTGTCTCCCAGTAGGGAGCAGCAGGAGGTGGACCTGTTTCTCCCATCTTCTGTTGTGGCTTTAACCAAACGTCCTGTAGTACTCGCCCGTCAGGCAGCAATCTGATAAATCGATGATTCAGCTTAAGCTTTACCTGCGGAAAGTGTTGTCCCTGATATCCCCAGTCCTCATGATGGAGGACCGGGATGCAAATATCAGGTCCAAGCTAAGCATGAGGTGTGAGGATGCCAATGTCTTTTATTTAAAAAGGTTACTAGCCCTCATGGCTTCAAAGCAAACATCTGTGAGCCAGTGTGGTGAAGTGGTTAAGAGCGGTAGTCTCGTAATCTGGGGAACCGGGTTCGCGTCTCCGCTCCTCCACATGCACCTGCTGGGTGACCTTGGGCCAGTCACACTTCTTTGAAGTCTCTCAGCCCCACTCACCTCACAGAGTGTTTGTTGTGGGGGAGGAAGGGAAAGGAGAATGTTAGCCGCTTTGAGACTCCTTTGGGTAGTGATACAGCGGGATATCAAATCCAAACTCTTCTTCTTCTTCTGTAACATGACCCTGTGACAGGGAAGGGCCCTTAAGCCCGTTCCAGTCAGCAATTACAGCAAGTCCAGCCAGTGAGGGAAGGGCTTCAAATATCAGATTTGTCTCCATTTAAATGCCCTGGCTCCGTTCAGTGTCCCACACTTATGTCTCAGCAAACTGTAACATACAGGAAGGCATTGAAGCGCCATTCTCACCTCACTGCGAGACTTGAGTGTGCTCCGTTTCGGCCTCAAGAGGACATCCTTGAAGTCTAACTTAATGTCATTGTCGATGTGTGGCATCTTCGACCCCTTGGAAGGAAAGCAAAAAGGTCACGCTCTGGGACACCAGGCAGAAAATCCTAGCCTATTCAACCTGAGCACAACTGTAGAACAAACTCTTATTGGTAGCGTTGTCTGTTTAAGAGACACATTTTTTTTCAAAGCCAATTTTGTCCATATTGAAACTGAAAATGAAAAGGCTTTCCTATAGCAACCAGCAGTGGTTTTTGGCATTAAAACACAAGTTATCTTACAGGCTGTGACTTGCGTTGCTTCCACGAACCACGGCTTGCTAACACTAACAGCCGTTCATGACCTCTGCTTCTGCCTCAGTTTCTCGCAGTGATTCCACGCATGCCACTCTGTGAAAAAACACTAGGCACATTGTATCGCTGTTCTCTACATCATCTCTGAGCCTCTGGTCACCGGTTGTTTGTCAAACTACAGTTCCATCTCCACCACCTCTTAGACCCTACCCCTTGGATTTCCAACACCATTAATGATTAAGACACCCCACGACAGACTTCAGATCTGCCGCAGCACCTGCCACATTAAAACCTCAACCATCGTCTCCCTCTATGGGCTTGTCACCAGTCTTCAAGGCCTTGATGAACCTAGTCCTGAGCTGCGGCATCCAAACCTACCAGCAGCTCTTATCGCTAACGGAAGCGGAGATGATTACAGGCTTTTGCAAAGACTTTGCACCTTTTATCTTTCATTATTGTTACGCTTCCAGGAACGCCACCCCACATCCTAATGCTTGTTACGGAAAAATCTAGGTGTGAGGCTGCTCAGTCACCCAGTTCGTCGGGCAGAGCCCGCGGGTTCCTGCGGAATAAAGGAAGGATTCCAGCCACCAACCAGAGCAAATAGCTGTAGACCAAAGTTTATTGCGCAATAGGTTCAAAGAGGAAATTTGAACCCCGAGGATGGGGTGACAAAGACTTTTAAAACTTTCCCACCATATCCCAGAATACAGTTCGTACAGCATCATTGCTACATCATTTCTACATCACTGACATGTCACAAAAGGGGAGGGGTTAACCTTCGCAAACATGTCCAGACAGGTCCTTGGTACAAGATTAGCATAGGCAGACATGGCAGGGCAAGACTGGGTATAAGATTAGCATAGACAAATATGTCTTAAGTACCCACCACCCAAAAGTACAATAGAAGTTCCTTTGCATGTCTGGCGCCTGAGGCAAGTCAGGTGATGAGATTTGGCTTCCCTTGGCTAACAATGAGCCCAGCAATTGTCACCTCTGGGACAGACCCTTTTTCAAGGGGGAAATAGCTTTGGAATGGAGGAAACTGGCAAAGGAGATGATTTTCTATTATTTTTAAAGCTAGGTAACTTCCCTGAGCTGTCAAGTTGAAAGGATACATTCAGGCATAATATTTGTAACAATTAACTTTAAAGGTGTCCCCCGCCCCGCCCCGTAATTTCCGTAACATGCTATAAATGGTCAGCAGGTTTTGAAAGGGACGCACTTCCAGGGAAGCGTCCGTATGACTGACCCCAGCGTTTGAGCATGCCTGGGGGGCGGCCGACTCTCTCGAAACCAGTGGGGCGCCACTGCCAGCATCCTGGGACAGGGGCGCAGATGACACAGAGCCATCAAACCCACCCCCTGGCCCCTCCCCCAGCAATGTACTGCCATGTTAGCAGGACTCATGCTAACTCTGCAACGCCGCCCCGGACCCCAACCCCACTCAGAGCCAAGGGGGCGCGGCTCACATGACGAATGTGGGGTTTGTTTTGGGGGGACAAGTCCGAGGGGCCGGGTTGAGCCCTACTTCCGGTTCACCCTTGGGCGCCCCCCACCACCGCGCGCACTTCCGGTTGCGGCTACCCGAGCTCAGAAGGCAGGAGTCAGCGCGAGCCTCTTTTCCACAACGGCGCGGTTCCACCCGGCTTCTCACCGCTCGACCACGCCCCCTTCCCTCCTGGTCCTTCTGAACTTCATCGGCGCACTGCCTTGTGGACCTTGTAGTCTTCTTCCCTCACTGCTATAACAGCGCAGAAAGGTCACCGGACTGCAACTCCCACAAACCAACGCGCCTGGAACCGCTCTCGGGAAACGTTCGCCCCCACCTGCGTGCGTGCGCGCGGCGGCGAATCTCGCGAGAGCCAATCAAGAGCGGGGAAAAGACGGCTACTCCCAGCGGGCGGGGCAACGGCGGAGATGGGTTTCTGCCGCAGTGCCTGACGGGAGATGTAGTCCGAATGAATTGAAGGCGGGGAGCGCGGAGCAGAAGTGAATGGCTGGAGAGCAATTAGGCAAGGCTGGAATTATAGTCCCGCCCATTAAAGCGACGGCTGCTGCGGCAGTATGGAACAAAATGCGCGGGAGACGTAGCTCGTAAAGGTTCACTTGTGTGGAAAGGACTCCATCTCCCATAGTGCACTGCGGGTCAGTCAGCGAAAGGGGTGTCGAAGAGGTGAATTCAAGCGGGGGTTCAAACACGGAGCAACGCCGCCGCACGCTTTATCTCGAGCTCTAAGCGTCTTTACTGGTTTCCTTTTTTAAAAAAAGGCGAAAAAAGACTGGAAGGCCTTTTGTGTGTAGTGAGGAGGGAATACTCCGAAGCGGAAGTGACGCCAGATAGGCCGGAAGGAGCGCGGGAGCGTGAGGGGAACAGCGTCCCCGTTCTGCTTCCGAGGTCAGAGGTCGCGCGGCTGACTGAAGAGGCTGGTCACGATGCTGATCAAAGTGAAGGTAAGGGAGGCTCTCAGCGGTTCCCCACTGGGGAGAGGGGTGGAAGAAGACCCGGGGGGGGGTCACCTCCTCGTGCCCCGGGGCATGACGGGAGAGCTTTGCGGCTCCCCTCGCCCCTGCCGCGGTGCATTGTGGGGCACCTGCAGGCACACACCCCCCCTCGTCCAGCCCTGGTTGTGTTGCGGGTGGGGCTCCTCCCCTGGCCAAGTGCAGAAAGAGAGGCTCCTCCCACAGCTTCCTCCTGCAGGCAGGAGGCAAACAGGTAGAGCTTCTCCTCCCCCCCCCGTCTTTTCACTGCGCTTGGGAGCGCTTCACCTGCTGAATTTCCGCCTGCCATGGATCCTGACTCCCTCACCTGGTAGGTGCCTAGGCTATGGAAAGGCTGGTCCATGTCATTTCAGACTTCAAAACGAAGCTGGGTCGGAATAAAATATCACAGGAGAATAAAAGTGCAACTTCAATGCAATATTAAAAGGTCAAAATGGGGGGGAATCGCAGTTTGTAATTTACTTGTCTGTCTGGGTCAAAACCTAATCAAAATCCTCGTATGATAGCGGGGAGCTGATAGTCAGATATATAAGCCTTGGGAGATGCCCAAAATTTGGGAGTCGTTGAAAAGGCGCAATTGCCAGAGTACCACAGCTATATATACTAACTGGCAAGTAAGTAAGCTCACGGTCATGACTGAGAAGCCAACTTAAACACTTCATTTTGACAAAACTTTTGAACCTAATTTCTGTCACCAAATTGCACATAATAATTTTCTTTTGACCACTAGAGAACAGCAATTGGGTTGACCCACATTTGGTCTTTGATAAAATTTGTTCTTATTTATTGGTCAGATAAGGATTTTGATCAGGCTTTGACCTGAATAGACAATTTGTTACTGCATTGTTTTGTGATTTTATTTGGACTGCATTTTTATATTGTTACATTGTATTAAAGTACGTTATTTTCCTATTATATTTCAAAGTATTTTACATTTTTTTTATTCCTACCCAACTTAGCTTTTGAGTCTAGTTTTGCAGATTGGAGTAATATACCGTATTTTTCGCCCTATAGGACGCACCGTCCCATAAGGTGCACCTAGTTTTTTTGGGGGGGGGAAATAAAGGGGAAAAAATTATTTCCCCCCCAGGCGCGGGGCTGGGGAAGCCAGAGCTTCCCCCGACCCCAGCCCCCAAACAGGCAGCTCTCTGCAAGCCGTGGGAGCCCAGCGCTGGCTCCCGCTGCTTGCGGAGAGGTCCGCGAAGCCTGGACGCGCTGAGCTCAGCGCGCGCAGGCAACTCTCCACAAGCAGCGGGAGCCCAGCGCCGGGCTCCTGCTGCTTGCGGAGAGGTGCACGAAGCCTGGAGAGTGAGAGGGGTCGGTGCGCACCGACCCCTCTCGCTCTCCAGGCTTCAGTGAAAGCCTGCATTCGCCCCATAGGACGCACACACATTTCCCCTTCATTTTTGGAGGGGGAAAAGTGCGTCCTATAGGGCGAAAAATACAGTATCCTTTCATGTGTTGGTATATAGCATTCATGCAAATGGGAAATTTTAGATTTTAAAAAATATATATATTAAAACAAGAATAAACAGAATAAATTATCCCTTTGCCCAAAATTTTGTATTTATGAATAAAATATACTAATGTGGTATATAAATTGTTTACAGGGCTGTCTTTTAAATAGCATTTTAATTCATTATTTAAGGCATTTTTTCCTCAGCTGGCCTACAAATGGGAAAAAAAAGACTAGAATAAAACAACAGTTTCAATGACAGCAGTATAGTGAGCCCATCAGAAGCTTAGATTCCATCGGAGACTAGGTTATAAACTATTGAATTATGGGTGCTGGTCCAGAATTTGGTATTCAGCTCCACAGTTTAATGAGCAGCTCAAAGATGGTGCTGAAGAGCTCCACTCAGTGGTGAAACTGGAGGAAATCATTTTCAGCTGCAAACCCAACATTGAATTTTGGAGCTATTGCCCAAGGTACAATTTTTAAGTATTTTGTCACTTAATGCTGGGATCAAATAGAGCTCAAGAGTTCTGCTGGAACAGAGATAGCAACCTTTTTTGGCATGACTGTTGCTAGCACTGCTTCAAAGGTGGGAAAGGTGCCAGGGGAATTCATTGAACTGGGGTGCCACCACCCAGAAGGCTCTAGAATAGGCTTCCCCAGACCTTGTGCGCTCTAGACATTTTGGAATACAACTCCCACCAGCCTCAGCCAGCACAGGTGAGGGGACTTGTAGTTCAAAACAACTGAAGGACACTGGATTGTGGAAGACTCCCCGTACATCTTATACCTTGCCTACAGTTGTTCATATTGTAGGGGCACTCACAAAAGAGCTTCCTTGGATGTTTTTGCTGCACTGGGGGGAGAGAATAAGCAGGAAGAGGTGCTCTGTTCAGATGGAGTTCTAGGCATTACCTTTAAGCATCTTTTCCTTTTGCTTTCTCCTCCTTGTTGGCAAACTTTCCGCCAAATGGGGAGCTACCTGCTCTGCGTGTGAATCTTGAGGCTTGCTGATCATCAGGCCGCACCCCAGGAATCCCATTTCATGAAAAATGCTAATGCCACAGTCTTCTGTTGACTTGACAGGGCTTGCTTCTGTGTTTAAGAGCCAGCAGCCGTGCAAAGGGAAATGGTTATAAACCAGTGTTTTACATTTCCCCCAACTGCCTGCCTCTAACTTCCTCTGGTGTTCAGATTGGAGATGGGTGGAGAGATTGCCTCCAGTTTCAAATCTGAGTTATGAATTGCCCCAGGGCAGAACTGGAATTAGCCGGGAATGCTGGAGTGAGGGGTTCTGGGATACTGTCTCTGGTTCATGGTGGAAGAAGAAAGCCGCAAGCTCCAGTTCTGAGCGTGATCAGAGAGAGGAAGGTTATAATGAATTGTGTCCGGGGAAATGGTGGGAGCTACGGACGCGGGTGGCGCTGTGGGTTAAACCACAGAGCCTAGGACTTGCCGATCAGAAGGTCAGCGGTTCGAATCCCCGCAATGGGGTGAGCTCCCATTGCTCGGTCCCTGCTCCTGCCAACCTAGCAGTTCGAAAGCACGTCAAAGTGCAAATAGATAAATAGGTACTGCTCCGGCGGGAAGGTAAACGGCGTTTCCGTGCGCTGCTCTGGTTCGCCAGAAGCGGCTTAGTCATGCTGGCCACATGACCTGGAAGCTGTACGCCGGCTCCCTCGGCCAATAAAGCGAGATGAGCGCCGCAACCCCAGAGTCGGCCACTACTGGACCTAATGGTTAGGGGCCCCTTTACCTTTACAATCCTGATGCAGAATGAGAAGGGAGTTTGGGGAGGGCCGTAAGCTCTCAAAAAGCACCCAGCCCCACCTTTCTTTGGGAGCAGCAGGAGGAAAAAATGTCTGTCTTCTAGCCTTCGCTGCCTGAAGAGGTGGCTGGATCATTGTGCGGGAGATGGGTGGCTGCTAGTAGCTGAGGCCTCTCTCTTTCGTTGCAGACGCTCACCGGAAAAGAGATTGAGATTGACATAGAACCCACAGACAAGGTACCTTGGGCAGACAAACATGGCGGGTGGGACGGTGGTGATGATAGCGGTGCCCTGCACCTACCAGGGGAATCACCTGTTTGGTTTTTCCATTCTAGTGTATGGAGAGGGACATGTCATTTGCCCTGGTGTGTGGGGCTGGTTTGCGTCACTGTGGGTCCTGCCCAGCCCCTTGCACCAAGGCAAACAACATATCTCTCTCTTCCTCAAGTCCAGTTTTGCAGAACTGGCTGAGATCAAACAGGCCCACTTCCTGTTGAACTTCCAGTGTGAAACAGGCATTTTAAGTGAGGGTTCCTTTTTGCAATGTATGCTGTATCCCTGCTGTACACCTCTTAGAAACTACAGCATTAAGTGGTACGTAAATTATTCTCTGAAGATGAATGGATTGATCCAATTGTGGAGGGAAAGGGGCTTTGTCGGTTGGTACCCATGTCCTCTTTCTTCTGGCCCCCACCCACCCAGGCGTGGCCTGTTACCAGTCTGGCCAGATGGTGGAGCTATTCCTCCTCTGCTGTCTTGCTCTCAGGTAGTGGGCGATGAGACATGTTTGCCAAGGGCGTCCGTCCTCTTGAAAGGACAGCCAGGACTTTGCTGGCCAAGCATGACATCTCCTTCATCAGCGCAACTGAACCACAATGCCCACCCGCCTCCCAGTCACATTGGTCCCATGTGAGAAACATTTGAGAGGTTCTTTTTTTAAAAAATAATTTTTATTAAGTTTTCCATTGAACAATCCAATCATATCACATTAATTATTCCAAATTATACCAATACATATCATAAAGTCCAAATATTTCGCCAAATTATATATTTTTGTTGGGGGTTCCCATGCTTCGAGTTCAGTAACTGAACGAGAAACATTTGAGAGGTGCATCAGATCCTTCTGGGCCACATTCAGGAGCTTTTGGGGCAGAGGCCACAAGGACATAGCTGTCAACTTTTCCCTTTTCTTGCGAGGAATCCTATTCAGAATAAGGGAATTTCCCTTAAAAAAGGGAAAGCTATGCAAGGATGGGGAGGCCCAAATGCTCAGATGTTGCCCTTTGTGACAGCGAAACGAATTGAAAGAGTCAAGCAGGCCGTTTTCCCCCCTGGGAAGTGAGTTTTCCCTCCATCAGCCTTGCCCACTAGTGTTGATGTGAGGTTGCAGCTAAAAACTGCTCTGGATAGACTGTGACCCTTTTCTGTTCTCCTCTCTCTCTATCTCTCTGCCCCCCTTCCCCCCCAGGTGGAGAGAATAAAGGAGCGAGTGGAAGAAAAAGAGGGAATCCCGCCACAACAACAGCGACTCATCTACAGCGGCAAGCAGATGTGAGTCCACCAGGATCAGTGGCTGCTTCCCAGTGTATTGTGGGGAATGCCTGGCTTTTGTAATACTGCTAGAGTAGAAGCAGAGGCTGCCCTAGGGCGTTGCGGGATAATTGTTTTATAGGACGGTGGCCCTCAGGTCTCATCAGGCCAAGCCACAGCACCCGGCCCTACAGGTATGGGGCTGGTGAAAACCTGGCTTAGCCGTGGCGGGGGTTGCAAGCTTGGAAAACGCAGGGCAAAGTGCTGCAGTAGACAGCTTTTTGGAAAGGCATGGCAATAATAATAGTAGTAGTAGTAATAATAATAATAATAATTTTATACCCTGCCCTCCCCTGCCAGAGCCGGGCTCAGGGCGGCTAACACCAATAAAATTATAATAAAACATAATTGGGCTGGGAGACAAACAAAAACCAGTTTATTAAAATGCGGGTTAAAATACCATTTAAAATGCAGCCTCATTTTAATAGTAGCCCATAAATCAAAACCTTAAGGGGAGGGAAACATAAGGGTCAGGCTGAGTCCAAACCAAAGGCCAGACGGAACAGCTCTGTCTTGCAGGCGGAAAGATGCAAGACCCAGCTGATTTGTCAGCCCCTTTCAAAAGGTTGCAGAGCGCTTTGCAAAGCATTTTACAAGGCTAGCGTGCGACAAAAAGTCACCTGATGCTATTGTGGCATCAGGTGATTGGCAGGTGGCGGCCCCACGAGGGGTGGAGGAGATAACGATCCGGCTCACTGGCATTTCTGTGCTGCCTTTCCATGAAAAAACACCCCCAAAGGTGGATAGCGACAATAACAGCCGCAATATTTTATATATTAGATGTATATATATATTTTAAAAACAATATTGCAAGAATGCCATATGATCATGAGGGGCTAAGAGCAGAGAGAAAAAAGCCAGTTTAGAAACATGATTTCATTTAAAAGGCATATTTAAACACGATAGCAGCAGAAGAAAGCAGTTGAGGTCCAGTTGGCCAAATACTTGCTTTAAATGGAAAGGGTTTTCCCTACTAGAAGAGGGCTAGACCAGCCTCCCTCAGCAGGATGTTCCAGAGTTTGGGACCAGCCACTTCAGTTGAAATCCCTGCATTTCAGGGGGTCGGACTAGATGACTCTTGGGGTCCATTCCAACTTTACGATTCTGCAAAAGCCCTTCTTCAAGTTCCTGCCAAACACATTCCATATATAAGTGGGAGAGAAACAAGATTAATAATAACAATAATTTTTTATTTGTATCTCGCCCAGCCGAGGCTGGACTCAGAGCAGCTAACATCATAAAACAACATAATATGCATAAAATCAGACATCAATTAATTAAAATACATCTTAAAATTAATTCAGACAAGTTAAAATCAGGGCAGGTGGCAGTTATCAGGTTGGAGTTGAGAGTGGTTAATACTTGCCAGGACCAACTGTTTCCACTGATCCTACAAGGATCTGTGAGTGAGTTGGGGGTCTCCTTTGGGCTTGTTTTATACAAAGGAAAGTAAGTCAAACTGCATCCTGCCCAAAGGCCTGGCAGAACAGCTCCATCTTGCAGGCCCTGTGGAAAGATGCCAAATCTTGCATTGTCTCCGGAAGATCTGAGCACCCCTGGCCACCTCAGAAGTACAGTTACAATGTACCTGGGTGTATTATATGGCCTGTTGCTCAACTATACAATACATCCGTGCAGACCTTATCCCAGCCTTTGCAAATCTGGAGCCCTCCAGAGGTTTGAGTCTTAGGTAGGGGAACGCTGGGAAAGAAAACTACCTTGTGCAAAAATGTTTGCCTCAGTTAATAATGAATGAAGTAACATTATTATGGGCCAAGCCCATTTTCTTCCTTCAACGATATCTTATTGTTGGAGTATGAGCAGGGTAAAAATATTATTATTACAGTGGTACCTTGGGACGCGGGTGGCGCTGTGGGTTAAACCACAAAGCCTAGGACTTGCCAATCAGAAGGTCAGCGGTTCGAATCCCCGCAACAGGGTGAGCTCCTGTTGCTCGGTCCCTGCTCCTGCCAACCTAGCAGTTCGAAAGCACGTCAAAAAGTGCAATTAGATGAATAGGTACCACTCTGGCGGGAAAGTAAACGGCGTTTCCGTGCGCTGCTCTGGTTCACCAGAAGCAGCTTAGTCATGCTGGCCACATGAACTGTATGCCGGCTCGCTCGGCCAGTAAAGCGAGATGAGCGCCCCAACCCCAGAGTCGGCCATGACTGGACCTAAAGGTCAGGGGTCCCTTTACAACCAAGGTACCACTGTACTACTACTTGGTAAGTGACAGCCGTAATGTGTTGCGCTGTATTACATGCCTGTTGCTGGACTACGCCAGTCTGTAGAGCCCCAGCCCCTGGGGCTTCTGGGGGTTGTAGTCCAGAACATTTGTAGGACTCCAGCCTGGCCCAGGGCGGTCTAACCACTCCTGCCTTCTCCTCTTCCCAGGAACGACGAGAAAACAGCCGCCGACTACAAGATCCAGGGCGGCTCTGTGCTCCATTTGGTCTTGGCGCTACGAGGGGGAGGCCTGCGATGATAGCGCACCCGTCCCTCGGCACGTCCCCCTCTCCCTCCCCACCTCCCCACAAAGGACAGATCTGCCGTTTGCGTGTGGGACACCGCCAGGCTGCGCATAGCTACCCTCCAAAACCCTTTCTTCCTCCCGGATCCAGGAAGAAAATGGGTGCCGCTGCCGCCCACCACTCCAGAGATCTTCCGCAAGCTGTCATTTGAGGGAGGTGCCATTTAGCAGGGGCTTGAGAGGGGGAGTCCATGGTTTGTTGCCTTCCTGGGGGATTCCGCATCCCGCCGGCCCCAATCCTGATGCATTTCCACCCCGGCAATGTCTCAAGTGCTGCCTATGCTCGTTGGCTGTGTTTTGCCTCCCCTCGTTCAAATGTCCTTCTCCCTGCCCACTCCCCCTTCCCGCAGTTGAAATGGCTGAATGTTAAATAAAGGTGTTTCACGTGGTTTCTTGAGTTGCAGGCTCGTGACTGTGTTCGGCGCTGCTTACAATGTGCCTTTTTCACTGGGGTATTCAGGATCCTCAAGTCAAAAGTGGCTCAAAAGCCATTTCCTTTCCTCTGGGATCTATAACGTATGGGTAGGCAAACCAAGGCCCCGGGGGCCGGATCTGGCCCAATCGCCTTCTAAATCTGCCCCACGGACGGTCCGGGAATCAGCGTGTTTTTACATGAATAGAATGTGTCCTTTTCTTTAAAATGCATCCCTGGGTTATTTGTGGGGCCTGCCTGGTGTTTTTGCATGAGTAGAATGTGTGCTCTTATTTAAAATGCATCTCTGGGTTATTTGTGGGGCATAGGAATTCGTTCATTATTATTTTTCAAAATGTAGTGCGCCCCCCCCCCCCAAGGTCTGAGGGACAGTGGACCGGCCCCCACTGAAAAAGTTTGCTGACCCCTGCTATAGCATGTATGTTTGTACAGTGGTACCTCGGGTTACATACGCTTCAGGTTATAAACTCCACTAACCCAGGAATAGTGCTTCAGGTTAAGAACTTTGCTTCAAGTTGAGAACAGAAATCGTGCTCCGGCGGCGCAGCGGCAGTGGGAGGCCCCATTAGCTAAAGTTGTGCTTCAGGTTAAGTACAAGCCTCCGGAACGAATTAAGTACGTAACCCGAGGTACCACTGTATATGTAATCACAGGGCAACAAGGGCTAACAGCTACAGTTCCCAGATTTTTTTGCGGCGGGAACCATGACAGTAGTGGATTTTCTTCAGTTAACCCCTCCCATTGCAATGTTTAAGGCGGCTTTTATTGGGTCAGAACCACAGCGGGCCAAATAAATGCGGAGTCTGCCGGGCTATGAAGTATTAACACAGGCTTATAGAGAGACATTCCTTCGCCGCAGCTTTACACGGGCGTAGAAATTAAATTTCAGACGGAAAGCAGGGCTCCGTTAACAGAGCTGGATGCCTGACTCAGGAAGAGTTTCTGCTACCTCTCACTGACCCGAGGCGGAGTATTTCCTGCACAAACATTCCCTGTACAGTCTGAGTAAGCGGATTGTCCTAGCAAAATTCTTCCGCAGCAGCCTCTTTTTACATCTCTTCACACGTGGACTGCCTGTCTGTGTATACATCAGGACATTCCCCCACTACATCATTTATACGAAAGGACGATGTTCGAAACAAAGCGAACTCCACAAACGTTCAATTCCTGTCGTGAAATTCCTGGGGTTTGTGAGGGTTTTTGCCTTATTGGGATGAGATAAAGCGCTGGCGCCAGGGAGCTCAATTGCAGATCCTTGCTGTGTGTAGGCAACTGACTTGATGACCCAGGGGTAGCCAATGGCATTGCCTCTGGGTGTTGAACTACAACTCCCATCATCCCTGGCCATTGGCCGTTCTGCCTGGGGGCATGAGAGTTGGGAGTCCAACATCCAGACAGCACCACGTTGGCACTCCCTGCCATAGGTAAAGGTAAAGGGACCCCTGACCATTAGGTCCAGTCAGGACCGACCCTGGGGTTGAGGCACTCATCTCGTTTTATTGGCTGAGGGAGCCGGCGTACAGCTTCCAGGTCATGTGGCCAGCATGACTAAGCCGCTTCTGGCGAACCAGAGCAGCGCACGGAAACGCCGTTTACCTTCCTGCCAGAGCGGTACCTATTTATCTACTTGCACTTTGACGTGCTTTCGAACTGCTAGGTTGGCAGGAGCAGAGACCGAGCAACGGGAGCTCACCCCGTCACGGGGATTCAAACCACCGACCTTCTGATCGGCAAGTCCTAGGCTCTGTGGTTTAACCCACAGCGCCACCTGCGTTCCTCCACTCCCTGCCATAGGCTGTGCCAAACTGCACCCTGTTTCCTCAAAACACTTTCCTTGTGTCTTAAACACAGGAG